CTTATAACCTGATACGCATCAAGGAAGGTGATGAGTGGAAGACAGCATTCAGAACACGCTATGGTCATTTTGAATACCAGGTAATGCCTTTTGGGCTTGCCAATGCACCTGCTTCTTTCCAAGCTCTCATGAATGATATTCTAAGACCTTACTTGGATATCTTTGTTGTTGTCTACTTAGACGACATTCTTATATACTCTTTAGACACTCAAGAGCATGTTCTACATGTTAGACAAGTCTTAGAGAAGCTATCTCAAGCACAACTCTTTTGCAAACTTGAGAAATGTCTTTTCCATATGTCTCAAGTTGATTTCTTGGGACATAGAATTTCAACAGAAGGAATTCAGATGGACCCTGAAAAGACAAAAGCAGTACAAACGTGGCCTATTCCTTCCAGCATTAAAGAGGTTCAGTCTTTCCTTGGGTTTGCCAACTATTACAGGAGGTTTATACCAAGATATACATCCTTGGCTTTACCCCTTACTCAATTACTTCACAAGGACACTTTGTATCACTGGGATAAGACACAGCAAGATGCTTTCGATGCTCTTAAAGGAGAATTTAAAGAAGGGAAAATGTTACTACACTTTAACCCCTTGAAACCTGCCACTCTTGAGACAGATGCCTCAGATTTTGCCATTTCTGGAATCTTATACCAAGCTCCAAAAGACAAACAAGAAGAGCTACAGCCTGTGGCATTTTACTCAAGAAAGCTATCAGCAGCTGAACAAAACTATCCCATTACAGACAAGGAACTGCTTGCCATAGTATGTTCTCTAAAGCATTGGAGATGCTACCTTGAAGGGGCAAACTATCCTATCACTATTTACAGTGACCATTCAAACCTCTTGACCTTTACAACCACTAAACAGCTCAATAGACGACAAGCAAGGTGGTCTGAACAACTAGGAGGTTTTGACTTTGTTATAAAACATGTCTCAGGGGCCAAGAATCAAAGAGCAGATCTCCTCTCAAGAAGACATGACTACCAAGATTCTGCTAAAACTAGCAATACAAAGGCTCTGCTAGACTCAGCAAAGCTTATAGCAGCATCTTTAAGCAACCCTAGTACTACAGAGGACTTAGGGGTAAACTTATCCCCTCAAGACCAAGTTGCCCCCATTACCTCTTCTCAGGAACCAGAGACCTTTAAAGACTATACACCCTCAGCAACACTTCTTAAAGCATTCAAAGATGCTTACAACCATGATCCCTTTGCGAAAAGAACTTTGGAATACCTCCAGAAGAAAGGTTCCTCTCTTGAGAAAGTTGGACTACAGAATTTCTCAAAAAATCAGCATGGACTTCTCTTATTCAAGAACTATATCTATGTCCCAAGGGATAAACGATTACAGCTACACCTCCTACAGCAGTTCCATGATGCTCCAGCTGCAGGGCACTTTGGCTTTGCAAAAACTTATGAACTTCTAACAAGAAAGTTCTACTGGCCTAGTCTAAGGACTACTCTTCAAGACTATATATCTTCTTGCACTACTTGCAACTTGAACAAACCTACACGGCAAAAGCCCTATGGCCTCTTGCAGCCTCTACCTATACCAGAACGCCCATGGGACTCCATATCCATTGACTTTATAGTCAAGTTGCCTCCTTCTATCCCAAAAGGGGGTGCTACCCCTTATGACTCTATCCTTGTGGTGGTAGAAAGGCTCACAAAAATGGCACACTTTGAGCCTTGCAATGAGACTATCACAGCTTCTGAACTTGCGTGGCTATTCCTCAAGGTGGTCTTTAAATATCATGGAATTCCTGGACACTGGATCTCAGATAGGGGAGCAGTTTTCACTTCAAACTTTTTTAAGGAGTTCTCTAAACTCTTAAACATGGAACAACGCTTCTCTACAGCTTATCACCCTCAAACAGATGGCCAGACAGAGAGAGTCAACTCTGTACTTGAACAATATCTAAGAATTTATACAAACTATGCTCAAGACAACTGGGCAGATCTTCTCCATCTTGCAGAATTTGCTTACAACAACACAGTCTCTAACACCACAAAAGAGACACCTTTCTATGCAAACTATGGTTATCACCCTAGGTTTGAAGTGGCAGAACTGAATTGTCCTGAAAATTTCAAAAACCCTTCTGCTACTGAAAGAATCATCTACCTTAAGGGCCTCCAGGACTATCTCAAGGTTCAAATACAGCGTGCACAAGACGAGCAGGCTCAGGCCTTTAACAGGGGGGTGGTTGCACCACAATTCAAAGTTGGTGATCAAGTCTTTTTGTCTAGAAGACATATCACAACTACTAGACCTTCAGACAAACTTGATACTAAAAGACTTGGACCTTTTAAGATCACAAGGACTATTGGCAAGAATGCTTTCGAGCTTGCATTACCACCTACTTGGACTATCCATAATGTCTTCCATGCATCTCTCTTGTCTAAGGCACAAGAAAGTTCCTTAAGACCACTTCAGTCTCCTCCACCTCCTGTTCTGATCTTGGATCAACCAGAATATGAAGTAGAGTCTATCCTTGACAAAAAGACACTTAGAGGTCAGGACTACTTCCTCGTTAAGTGGAAAGGCTATCCTACAAGTGACAACACTTGGGAGCCTAAGAGAAATCTAAAAAATGCATCTAAGCTCATTCTAGAATTTCTTTCTAAGAAAGCCAACTGGCTAAAGGGCAAGCAGACAGCCAACAAACGTCCTTAAAAGGGGGATCATGTCATACTGACATTCGTTGCACTCAGTTTGCTATCAAACTCAAGAGCAAACTTAGAAATCTCCTCCTCAAACCTACAAGTCACCATACATATCTTGGCTTATCACACCAACAACAGAAGCAATACTACTCAACGATTGCTGCAAACTCTTCTACTACATCTGTTTATGCTACATACATCACGGCATATCATTTGGACACTCATTGAACAAGTTATTAAGAAAATCTCCTCCTTAAGGGGGTGGGCCAATACTACCACATGGCATATCTCTACCAACTAGAGGCCTAGGAACATGAACGATAGCTCTAGAAGCTTCTACAACCCTCTATGATTCATTACACGTCATCGCTCCTTAGTTACCCACAAGATTGGTTAAGTTATGACATAATTTGTCTATAGGTACTCTGACCTTGGACCTCCTTTTCACTTCCTATAGGCTAGGAACCCAAGAGATGGTTCTATGGGATTCTCTTACGTTCACTACATGATTAGCAAGCTAGTTGTGGGTCGCACTTGATTTCTAATACATTTACCAAGCCTGGTTAGTCATGGAAAGTCATGGAAAATAAGAGAACTACACTCCTTTGGCATAAATAGGATTGCCCTTTCCTTAAGAAAGGGCAAGCAGACAATACAGTAAATCGACTAGCACATACTTCTACGTCTTTTACAAGCTTCCAAGCATTCATCTTGTTACTCCTTGTTTCTGAAAAGTCAGTGAGGTGTTAACCTCTGACTTACCCCTGAGTTCCCAGACTCAACATTTGTTGCAACTTGTCTAACCCACTTCACCACATCATACACCTGATTGCTGCGTTGTGGAATAGTCTAAGCTACAACCCTTTGGCTCTGTTTCCTAAGACAGTGTGTTGTCTTAGTAAATTCATCCCTTCCTTGGGTGGCTAGATTCTCATATCTGGTGCACTCACCATTACATTGCTCAAGTAACGATATCATCGTTGACTGGCCTTTTTTGAGTTCTTCCTGGCCTTGCTGAAGCTCCCAGATCTGGTAATCAACTTGCTGAAATTGCAACTCAATACTACTCGTATTAAGTCCTCGTTTCTCACTTTCCTGCTGTCTATCCTGCTGGTCTATATTACCTTGAGTATATCGGGCTTTTAAAAGCTCAACTAATGACTCAATACTAGTCGACGTCCGGTCTTCACCCTGTATATTCAAATGCTCATCTAGGATCATTTGATTATAGGAAGGGGAAGATATTCGCAGGCGCTTCTTGCGGCTTCTTCCTTGACTGACTGACTGGCCACGAGCGGAAGAAGTGCGTTGATAAACTGGCGTTAAGGTTTCAAAAGGAGGCGAGTTGATAGAGCTGACGTCCTCACAGTTATCACTTTGTAGCTCTTCGTCGTCGTCTACGTCAAAGCCTGAGAGCTCCCGCTGTAATGGTGGGTGCACCAGATGTGAGAATCTAGCCACCCAAGGAAGGGATGATTTTACTAAGACAACACACTGTCTTAGGAAACAGAGCCAAAGGGTTGTAGCTTAGACTATTCCACAACGCAGCAATCAGGTGTGTGATGTAGTGAAGTGGTTCAGATCAAAGCCTGAGAGCTCCCGCTGTAATGGTGGGTGCACCAGATGTGAGAATCTAGCCACCCAAGGAAGGGATGATTTTACTAAGACAACACACTGTCTTAGGAAACAGAGCCAAAGGGTTGTAGCTTAGACTATTCCACAACGCAGCAATCAGGTGTGTGATGTAGTGAAGTGGTTCAGACAAGTTGCAACAAATGTTGAGTCTGGGAACTCAGGGGTAAGTCAGAGGTTAACACCTCACTGACTTTTCAGAAACAAGGAGTAACAAGATGAATGCTTGGAAGCTTGGAAAAGACGTGGAAGTATGTGATAGTCGATTTACTGTATTGTCTGCTTGCCCTTTCTTAAGGAAAGGGCAATCCTATTTATGCCAAAGGAGTGTAGTTCTCTCATTTTCCATGACTTTCCATGACTAACCAGGCTTGGTAAATGTATTAGAAATCAAGTGCGACCCACAACTAGCTTGCTAATCATGTAGTGAACGTAAGAGAATCCCATAGAACCATCTCTTGGGTTCCTAGCCTATAGGAAGTGAAAAGGAGGTCCAAGGTCAGAGTACCTATAGACAAATTATGTCATAACTTAACCAATCTTGTGGGTAACTAAGGAGCGATGACGTGTAATGAATCATAGAGGGTTGTAGAAGCTTCTAGAGCTATCGTTCATGTTCCTAGGCCTCTAGTTGGTAGAGATATGCCATGTGGTAGTATTGGCCCACCCCCTTAAGGAGGAGATTTTCTTAATAACTTGTTCAATGAGTGTCCAAATGATATGCCGTGATGTATGTAGCATAAACAGATGTAGTAGAAGAGTTTGCAGCAATCGTTGAGTAGTATTGCTTCTGTTGTTGGTGTGATAAGCCAAGATATGTATGGTGACTTGTAGGTTTGAGGAGGAGATTTCTAAGTTTGCTCTTGAGTTTGATAGCAAACTGAGTGCAACGAATGTCAGTATGACACCCGCGCTCTTTGGCAATAGACTTATCATGACTTTTTGGAGGATTCCTCTGGTATTTCCTCTTTGCTGCAATGGCTACAGAGAGTGAGTCTCGGATATCCTGCGCCCACTGTGACAAAGTTAGAACAGTATTTGCTGCCTCACTTCGCTCCTTATTAAGTCGCTCCTCCTCACCAACAACGTCAATCCAGTTATCAATCTGGACAGTCAATTCGCTCTCGCTGTCTGTCTGACCAGTCCTAAGACTGTCAAGGTATGCCCTCCTCCTTTCAGTTTCCCGGCGTAATACTCGGTGAAGGCTCTTATGCTGCTTGCCGGTTTCCTTCGCAAAGTCCTCTTGAAGATGGGACCAAAACCCAGTCTTGCTACCTGGTCGATACACTTCAGCATTTCGATTTGCAAGCTGGAATAGGACCAGCACTTCAGCCTTCATCAAAGGGGCCATCTTAGTCGGAGAGCCTTGAGGATTGCAGCTTTCTATATGCTGCTGGGTTGAGAGCTGCGATACTTCTGGTGTTTCAGCTTCAATTTGCCCCTCAATCGTAGGCTGGATAGGCAGAGCAGGGCTTGCTCTGCTCTGGATCCCAGCTGTGGGCACACAGTTTGAAGTGCCATGAGCGACAGCGAGATCTTCTGGTACCTCTCCAGCTGTGGTTGGTGTCACCTTCTCCCCTCCAACACTCGGCCTCCCACTGCACTTGCAATCCATGTAGAGGAGCTCCCTCAGTAGGTCATATCCACAGGACATCCTAGCGACAATCCTGGCCCAGGTATCCAGGACCATTCTCTTCAGATCCCAATTGGATTTGGGGGTCTCCCTAAAGCAGCTAAATGCACACCCTTGCTGGCGTTGTTGTAATGGTGGGTGCACCAGATGTGAGAATCTAGCCACCCCAAGGAAGGGATGAATTTACTAAGACAACACACTGCCTTAGAAAACAGAGCCAAAGGGTCGTAGCTTAGACTATTCCACAACGCAGCAATCAGGTGTGTGATGTAGTGAAGTGGTTCAGACAAGTTGCAACAAATGTTGAGTCTGGGAACTCAGGGGTAAGTCAGAGGTTAACACCTCACTGACTTTTCAGAAACAAGGAGTAACAAGATGAATGCTTGGAAGCTTGGAAAAGACGTGGAAGTATGTGATAGTCGATTTACTGTATTGTCTGCTTGCCCTTTCTTAAGGAAAGGGCAATCCTATTTATGCCAAAGGAGTGTAGTTCTCTCATTTTCCATGACTTTCCATGACTTACCAGGCTTGGTAACTGTAGTCGACGTAAGAGAATCCCATAGAACCATCTCTTTAGGTTCGTAGCCTATAGGAAGTAAAAGGAGGTCCAAGGTCAGAGTACCCCTATAGACAAATTATGTCATAGACAAATTATGTCATAGACAAATTATGTCATAGACAAATTATGTCATAACGTAACGTATGGGGTAGTCGGACATACGGGGTAGTCGGACAAAAATGCCCGACTACCAACTCAGAACCTTCATACCTTCCACCATGAACATCCCACAACCATACAGTCGTGCTCAGATTGAAGACAACATCCAAAAGGCTGTCATTGCGCTCCAATTGAAGGAATTCAAATCAATTAGACTTGCTGCAGACCACTTCAAAGTTCCTAAGTCAACTCTTGCTGATAGGATGTCTGGGAAGAAAACGCGTGCTGTAGCTCACGAAATTGAACAAGCTCTATCAAATGCAGAAGAAAATACACTAGCACGATGGATTACACGTCTCACTGCCACGGGTTTTCCTGCAACTCCTATGTTGATCAAGGAAATGGCTGAAGAAATTCGCGTACGACGCGTCCAAATCACGTCTTCTCAAACCACTCTTCGGACCAATCCTACCCCCATAGGCCATGAATGGATCTATAGATTCTTAAAACGACATCCAAACTTTAAAGGGGTCTACTCAAGACAACTAGAGTCTGCACGACATAAAGAAGCCACTCCTATAAAGATTTCAGCTTGGTTTCGTGTTTAAAGCACGAATTGAAGAGCGAAAGTACAAGCCATGCAACATCTATAATATGGATGAGACAGGTTTTGCAGTTGGAGAGACTCAATCCACGCGAATAATTGTTGATTCTACCTTGAAATCCAATTGGAAGGTCACAGCTGGGAAGCAGGAGTGGATAACTGTACTTGAATGCATTGATGCGGACGGTGGTGCTTTACCACCTATGATTATATTCAAGGCTAAGAATACCAATTCAAGTTGGATTCCAAAGGACACCCCTACAAACTGGCACTTCTCAACAAGTAATAGTGGCTGGACTTCAAACAGTCATGGATTTGAGTGGTTGCGGAAGGTATTTGAGCCTGAGTCACGCAAAAAGTCTGGAAATCACCCGCGAATGTTGATTATGGATGGCCATTCTAGTCACATTACTGGCGATATGATTGCACTGTGCATTGAGAATGACATCGACCTTCTTATTCTACCGCCTCATTGCTCTCATCTACTCCAACCACTTGATGTTGGGGTGTATGGACCTCTTAAGCGATTTCATGCTCAGGAAGTAGATCGGTATACTCGAGCAGGAATAAAGTGAATCCAGCGCTCCCACTGGGTTGAAATCTTCCGGTGTATTCGAGAGAAGGGTCTTATACCTCAAAACATTAGAAGTGGGTGGAGGGCAGCAGGTTTAATACCCTTTCTCCCAGAAAGAGTTCTGGCTAACCTTCCACTTCCACCAACCGAACCACCTCGCACTCCTCAAAACTCAACCAATATCACTACTCTGGATCTCTCAATACTCCGAAGTTCTCCTCCAGATGGAACTGAACTAAGGCATGCAAATTTAGTATTTAATTCAAGTATGGCAACTTGTGACTCTCCTGCTTCACCAACTCGACGCTATGCCAAGAGAATGACTAGGCTGGTTGAAAGTCAGAATGCTGAACTCAGCATCCTTCGGAAGGAGGTAAAAGAGTACAAAGAGATACTTGAGACACGAAAGAAAAGAACTACGGGCAAGAGAATTAAGTTGCAAGGCGAATTTGTATTCAGTACCGAGGAAGTGTTGAAAATTGTCCGGGAGGCAGAGTTGAAGTCAACCGAGAAAAGACCACGTGGAAGGCCACGCAAACGGCCAATTGAAGAAGTAGACGAGGAAGTTAAAGAGGAAGAGGTAGAGAACGATTCAAGCGACCCAGAATTGGAATTGGAGGAGTGTGTGGCACGTAGGACTCAGTCAACTAGAGTAGAATAAACTTTTTGTCCGACTACCCCATATGTCCGACTACCCCATACGTTACGTTAACTTAACCAATCTTGTGGGTAACTAAAGAGCGATGACATGTAATGAATCATAGAGGTTCGTAGGAGCTTTTAGAGCTATCGTTCATGCTCCTAGGCCTCTAGTTGGTAGAGATATGTCATGTGGTAGTATGAGTGATGTCATGTAATGAATCATAGAGGGTTGTAGAGATATGCTATGTGGTAATATCGGCCCAGTAACTAAGGAGCGATGACATGTAATGAATCATAGATGGTTGTAGCAATCGTTGAGTAGTATTGCTCTTGTTGTTGGTGTGATAAGCCAAAATATGTATAGTGACTTGTAGGTTTGAGGAGGAGATTTCCAAGTTTGCTCTTGAGTTTGATAGCAAACTGAGTGCAACGAATGTCAGTATGACAGTGAAGCTGGGGAGATTTCCTGATGGGGAATTGCTTTAGCTGGGCAAAGCTGGGGAAGATTTCCTATCGCCTGGGAGGATTTGCTTTGGCTGGGCAAAGCTGGGGAGACTTTGCTGTCGCTCAGCAAAGTTGGAGGGAGATTTTCTGGATGCTGGGCGGTATTGCAGATGATTTCCTGGATGTTGCGCAGAAGGTGGGAGGATTTGCTTTGGCAGGAGGAAGCCGGAGAGAATTTCCACTTTGATAATCTGCTCAGATGATCTGGATGCAAGCTGCATCAACATGTGCAGTTTCCGTTGCTTCAATTTTAGGTATATCGGGAAGCGTAGTAGGATATAGATTGAGGAATTGTTTCGGCAGACTCTCTTCATGGGCAGAAGAGGAGGTTGTGAGGGTCGTAAGGTCGAGTGCAAGGAGGCAGGAGGAGAGGAGACTTGACTTCTGACTCTGAGGAGGCAGCTTCAAGGTGTTTTTCTTGGTGTTGTCACCAGTTTGTGTTCATATTTAGGCAGTGTTGATGAAATGAGAACAGCGCCCGGCTCTATGCGGTATATTTATCTGAGGTGATGCAGTCTATAAAACAATTAGTATAATTCATACTCTTTATCTTTCCTTCAACTTACCTTTGATTCTTGTCGCTGCCTGTGGTGAGGTTAGTAGTGAGGTTGGTGATAGTGGTGATGTGCACACAAGCTGTTAGTCTAGGTCACGTGACTGGAATCTCTGAATAGCTTCAATTCATCACCAACCTTACCACCTCAGCATCTTCACCATATACTAGTTATCGGCAACGTTGCGGGCATAGGTTCCTTTTCACTTTTGTCTTCAGATTTACTGTCTCTAGTAGCAGTAGACGTTTCATGCTCCCATTCTTCCCATTAGTTCAAGTTTTATCGTGGTTACTTTTCTCTAGGTCATTTTAATGACAATGGGCTATGAGCCAGGCCGCCGCAATGGCAAGAAGTCACAGAATAAAATGAAGGCAAGCTACACTCTATATCTTTTGATTATCTCAGGTAATGACTATTTGCACAGCATCACAAGCAAAAGGAGCCATCCTGCCACCAAGACCTGCTCACAGATGATGAACTCCCCTCAACTCTGATGGCCAAACGACACCAGTGCATGATGAGCAAGGCCACAACTATCAAGAAGACACTCCTCCTACCAGCAGCCGCCTCACTGGAGATGAAGTCAACAACACTCTTTTTGTCACACCAGTGACAACTAGGCCAATGCTGAGAGAGGCTGCCGAAGCAAATACTGCCCTATCGAAGAAACGCCACCAGAGCCACACTGATGATCCTAGCAAGAACCCTGGCACAACCTACCCTGGCTATCATAACTGCCACATTGCTGCTGAGATGGAACAGTATGGGAATAGGATCTCAGCCCGCGAAGCAGAGGACAAGTGGACTGAGATATCTGAACAAATTGATCGGGAAGCGCACTTCCTTCTCCTCCTGCATATGAGGCATGACCTTCTTGATATAAAAGAAGATGTCCTGGAAAAGGTGCTCCCAGAGTATCAATCGAGTCAACAGTATATGGGAATGTCCGTGTTGTCCTTATGGAAAAGGTCAAACATTACCGGTATTCACTCATCGAGGATCTTATAGTAAGTAATACATCTCCTATCTCAAATGTAATTTCTAACATATTTACAGCTTCACGTCAAGACTGCAATGAATGTAACAGATGGATCTGGTATTCGTTTTGCACGACCTTAGATGGCCTTGGAGATATGTTTCGTACTCGGTATACGGCTGCAAATTTTTTTGAGGCATTTCGATTCATACACCATTATATCGACCTTGAGAAAAGCAGCAACCTCGCCCAGTACTATGTCAAGGAACTTTACGTCAACGCTTGTGCCCGGACGAAATTGATGATGGACTGGAAATCTGACCCTAATCGAAAGGCTGTTAGCCTACACTCCCGAGAAAGCTTTACGGATTTCCTCCAATGCTTCCCCTTGATTGCGGATTACGATCAGCTCGACAAAGATGAGTTCCACGAGACCTTTAAACGGCGCTCAAATACAAAGGCGCCAAAACCTATCTTGAAGAAACATGCCCTTATTCAAGGACAAGAATATATCTTGAGTAGGGCTTCTCCGCTGCTGCCAAAGTGCCGCAAAGAAACTCTAGTCCCTGGGCGTAGTGCTCGGGCGATAGAGTGAGATGTTTGCCGCTCTTCTTGCGGTTAATTTACACTTGCTTTGGGGGGCATTCTCTTGTGCGCTGCTGTTGGGCTTGTGGCCTGGGCTGGGAAGTTGGCATTATGTTGCTGACCTCCTCAATATGGAACATTTTTGGACTTTGCTGTTCTGGGCTGGGCATTCTAGCTGGATATCTTGGGTTGAGGCATGTTTGCTGTCGGAATAAGAGTGGCTACGGATCACAATGGCATTGTTTGAAGCTGGATCTGGCATGAATACTGGCTATATGATAGAAATAATACGCAATGAAGCTTGATTCCCATGCCTGATTTAACACCTGCTTTCCTGTGCCTGCCGCCTCTCTTCTGTGTTCCTCTGCAGCTTGTGTCGCTGCCGTGATCAAAATGATCATACTCTTGGTGCTCTAGCCCACGCCGTCGCCGATCTATCCTGCCGCTGAAGGAAGGCTTCCTGGGCCCCAAGAGCTCTACAGATTCCAATGACAGATAGCTGTGTGTCTATCAAGCTATCTGCCCTTGGAATCTTGGCCTCATTTTTCAATTTCCTCACTCGCTTTCCTCTCCCGGTCTTCTTCACCATTTTCCTTCACCATTTTCCTTCGCCGTTTCCTTTGCCAGTCTCCTTCGCTGGTCTCCTCATCCGGTCTCCTTCGCCGGTCTCCTTGCTGTTTTCGACCACCGATTCTACCACCGTTCCCTCTGTCGTTTCTACCACCGTTCCCTCTGTCGTTTCCATCACCATTCGCCTCTGTCATTTCCTTCGCTGTTTTGTCTGCCATTCTTCAGTTCCTCTTTGCCTTTCTTGCTTGTAGCGTGCCTTTCAACTCTTGCGGCTTCCTTGCCGCCGCTCCAACTCCTGGTCCCAGGACCGCCCATTGCCTCATCCACGGCCGCGATGGTCCATTCGAGGAAACCAGAAACGCCCGCCCTTGGTCTCGCCCTGAGGACGGTGATAGTACTGTCCTCACTCCACGCCGACAGTGTCAGGAATGAGGAGTGAGTGCTTCCAGTCAGTATTAGCAGTCGCCGTCATGTACTCATGACGATAGTGTGGCCGGCGATGGCAATATCACATCAACGGCCCCAGGATCACAAACGGTGAGCAAATTTTACTGTCATACTACTGTCAATTTCCTATCTACTGTTCTAAAGCTTCAACTGTATGGGTTGAAGCCTGATCCCGGATTTTGGACGGTCTTCGGACCGGTGCACGGGCCAACTGACCGTGGGATGACCGGCCAGACCGTCCTCGGACCCCTCCACGAATACGTGGCACGCCGGTAAGGTAATCACGTGATATGATAGCCAGCAGGGGGATTGTATAAATATAGTAATAAATTCAAGATGGACCCTGAAAGGTTGTGTTACTGTGCAAACTGTATTCCATAAACAAACAGGGAGCCCTGTACTACTAACGTGCTATATCCTGACTAAACCGAGCAATTTGGAAGCATTGGAGTCAGTTGAAATACGAGAAACCAGCAGGCTTGATTCGCCAACGTTGCATGGCCGGACCAATGCTGCAGCCAGGGGATATTACTGCTGTAGTTCTGTAGTCCGCTTTCCAGCAATTGAGATCTGACAACCAACGACGATCCCCGTGTTACTGTGAGTACAGGGCGCGACTATCCTGTGTGTGGTCTACACAGTTACGTACTCCTTGTTCCCCCACCACTTAGCCCAAACATCAAACGCGATACTAGTTGGCAGGGGGTTGAATCCTATCTTTTTGCGCCTACTCACGACTATTCCATGCCCGCGACAACTTCTAATGGCACAGCCGATCATGCACATTGTGGATGCGCCAATACAGCCGTTGTTATGAAGATGGACAATTCTACAACAGCGGCGTCGACGGACATGGCGGACCCCAAGGATGCCAAGCACGCAGCATGCGCTTTTGCGAGCCTCCCGGATGAGATCATAGAACTGTATGTCTGATACGCTTCCATTGTTATCTTACTGATGATATCCCAGCATCCTTTCGACATGCGACCCCAGCTCCTTCGCATCTCTTGTTCTGCTTAATCGCAACTGGCGCAGGGTATCGCAACAAGCTCAACTCTACGCCCAACAGCTGTCTCGATGCCGATCTTATGCGACAAGCCATCGAATTATCGCATTGCCAGTTGACGGCGACGAGCTTCCGAGACTCCGAAAAGCATTCGCACATGAGGTCAAGCGCAACCTCTATGAAGCATATTTACGCCCACAAGAAACGATAATCAAGCTAGTGTCGACGTCTATAAGCTCTTCGGCCGCGTTGCCCGGAGGCGAAGCGTTCCACTTCGCATTCTCTGCCAATGGACAATATGTTCTCGCATATAGCACATCGAGGATCCATGTTCTTCGTTTTGTGGGACTGGATGTCACAGTTGAACGCGAGCTGAAGATCCTGCGACGACCTGCATCAATAACAATACTCGACGATGGCACTATGCTGGCTGTATTATCGATGGATCACCAGGTTGATCTCTACGACCTAAGCAACGGGAAGCCAAAACACATTCGAGCAATTGCCCTGGATCACCATCCTCGTACAATTTCGCTGTCCCCCGGAGGTTCGGTGCTGGCGGCAGCGTATGATGGAGGCATCGAGGTGTACTCTCTGTCAACTACCGCCTTAGCCACAGATAAAAGGAGTGTCAAGTCTGACGCAGCTGATTCTTTGTCATTCTCCAGGGATGGTATGCAACTACTGGGCACCACTATACACTCCAAAAACCCCAACACTGTCATATTAACAGCGCCATACTTCAACCCCGGCGAGTATTCACCGGAGGACAGCATTGGCCAGCTTTGGGCAACGTCAATTCTTTTTCCTAACAGCAGTCGAGACTGTAGCCATGCGGTCCTTCTACCAAGCGCCGCGGACTGTGGCGCAAACTGGACATTTACTTATGACCGAGCCTTTGAAACTTTCCGAGCTGTCCGCATTGACGACCTTCGCAACGGAACGACCTATTTTACTGGACCTGTAGCAGATTCCCCATCGACTCAAAAACTACTTCCCAACACTCTACCCGCAACAACTGGCTCAGGGGATTTGGTTTCTGCCGGGTTTCAAGGGAAGGAAATATGGTGTTACGGTGTCCCTGAAAATCTTGATGCGCCTCCTGAACCAACAGCAGAAACTGACTCGGCTGACTTTGGAACGCCTCTCAGCCATAAAAGTAGCCTTTCCGGCACTGGGCAACGGGAGCCCACCACTGCGCCCAAAGATGCAAACGGCGATAAAGTACCCAAGTGGCAAGAGCTCTCTAACAGATCTCGAAATGCATTCATTGAAGGGCGGCATGTTAGCAGTCTCGACGGAATTATGGCTCTGAAGTGGGTAACCTCTTCACCAGGTACTTCGTGTGAGCGGCTTGTCGCAGCTGCCCCTGGGGGTGTAGGTTATGCCCAAGGCCATGCGTTCGACCTGAATGGCGACGGCATAGCACCAATGGATGGTGGAAGGCTGTTACTCTTGGATTTTGACTACTCTATTGTAAACGGTGAAACGCGAACAATCACGATAGAAGTGGGCGAGAAAGAGCCGGAAGTACTCGAGGAAGAGCAGCGAGATATGGAGACAGAGGTTGCAATAGTTCGCAGGCGAACTGTCGCTCAATCAAGAGGAAATCATCCGGCTGTCCTTCGTTCCACCACAATAGCAGCACGCCCGGAGAGAGGTCCTGTCTTTCCTCTGCCAAGAAGGTTGGATGGGCTGCCAATGTCGGCACTCCGAAGACCGTCTGCCACGAGGGAGGCACTATCGCCAACAGACGAGACTTCGGAAACAGCATCTATGACATCAATAGATGACCAAGAAGCACTTGATGCACCGTATGCACATGGCACTCCTCGCTCTGTGGCAACATTACGACGTGCTGCAACTGCTGCAGCTATAAATCGGGTGCTTCATCCACCTCGTTTTGGGGTAACACCAGGCCCCCAACGGATGCGGCCTGCAGATGGTCACAACGAAGTTCCCCATGAAAGTGATGCGGATAACTGGGTCCCCCCACCACCGCCATATAGCAAAGATGACATACCAACACTTCCAGAGCACCTACGAAATGCAATTCAAGTCGGAGTTACAGGATTGCCAAGCAGCCTTCACCGATCTAGCACTGAAAGGAGCAGCGCGTCGACGGAGTCAAACCCCCTATCCAGTTTACGAAGATCCAGAACTACATATGTTCCAATGAGTAGATCCTCGGCGTCACCAGTGTCATCTCATTTATCCCTCGCCTCACCTGTTTCACTTCCTTTAGCCGTCGCCATACCGCGACCTGCTAGCTCTTCATCTGCCATCAGTTCATCAAGCGATATAGACCGCGAGCCTCAGTCATTCCAGACTCCAGCAAACGCAGATGATTTTGACGACATGTATGATGTTTCTCCCCAGAGGACACCTGAGCCTCCTGCGGCAGTGCCAGTAGCGCCAGCACCAGCCAACACAATTCCTCGTCGACCTGTGCGCCAGCCGGTGGTGACTATACCGGAAAGCCCCGTCATGAGTACTCCTTCAGTTGAACCTATGTCTCCAATCCCACGTCGCGCTATACCAATTCCAACAGTCCAGGATATTAGCGTGACGCCGGATAACTGGGATGGCGATGCTGGTAATGCTAGCAACACCACACCCGCCAACGAAGAGGAAACGCGAACCCTCCCCGAACAAACGGCGTCAACTGGTGGGACACAAGTACGATACGTGAGTATTGAGGCACCCCAAGGCTCACAGTTTACGGGCCTACCAACGCTGTCACCGATAACCCCACTGGATCTGCATTTCCCTCCCAGCCAGGATCCAGCTCCAAAGACAGACATCTCTCCAGATGCCGGCTCGGGAGTACCAGCACCTGCAGAATTAACTCCTGCAGATGTCAACTTACCGAGCGCATCATTGCTGGAGAGACTGAACAGTCGCGCTCAGAGACCAAGTAGCCAGCAACTGGCTAACCACCCAAGAGCTGCCTCAGGATCCTTCCAGCAGCTACCCGTCATCCAGCCACCCGTCATGCATCCAGTCCACCAGAACATGTACCCCGAAGCGCCCAAGCAAATGAACACCGGACTGCCACAATTCGGCCAGACCAGCTTTACAGAATTCGGACCGCCGCCCAGGGCAGCTACCGGGGCGTACAACGCGCAAACGACTATGTCCCCAATCTACTCGCCTCCGTCCCACGACCAAGGCAACCTAGTCGGATACCCCAGCCCATATGGTGACCAACAGCAATTTTTCCCCGGTGGCCTACGTCCCCACATGACGCGCCTAGAGACGATCTACAGTATCAGCTCCAACGGTGACGGGCCGGCACACACGCCCACCTGGCCCATAGCAGCAGGCGTCTCGCGCCGTGCCAGCCGCGCAGGGCGCAGCGCGGCGATCAATATGCAGCAGGCAAAGCAGAGGGGCTGGCGCGGGACGATGAAGCGGAAGGGGAAGAAGAAGAAGGATTACGACGTGGCGAGTAGTGCGGGGTGGACGGATGTTACGACGGCTGGTTATGCGAGTAAGAAGGAGAAGAAGGGGAAGTGTGCCATTATGTGAGGGGATTTTTTTATGGGATAGGCGTTGGTGTGTCAACCTCTGTCCATAGTCGAATATTTCGGTATATGGGATTTAGATAGCTTAGGGGGGATTTGCTACGATGGGAGATACCCGGGATATTGCCGCGAGGCTTTATGGATGCGATATGTTGTGTTATATAGCGCCTCTAGTGAGGCTAGCTCGATATCGAGTATTTAATGAGAAGAATGAATTTTATTGGGGATGAATTTTAATATTCCCTATTAACTACGTTTTCCAAAGCTTTCTCATAATGCCTGACAAGGCTGACATCTTCTACGCTGTCGAATCTGTATGTCCAAATTCCACAACAGAACGATAACAATATCCAAGTACCATTTCCTTGGTAGCGACTGGTTCCTAGCCCTAATACTCCTTCGCTGCGGCACGCTGTTCAATTTCCAGCTCCATTGCCCATGGCAACTACTTCTTCTACTTCAGAAACCTCTGTTTGCAACAGCGCCTTCAGCAGCCGTATGTTCCTCGACGGTAGCTGGCTCTTCAGCAAAAGCACGTTTCTTCGTCGCCAGCGATGGGTTCGTCCACAGGGCAGCTTCGTACGCCTGGGTGGCAGCACTGAGTTCCTGGTGGGTTTTTGGTACCCGTATCTCGGGAAAATCAAAGTCAGATTGGGCCGCTTCTAGTTGCTTGATATGTGCCTCTACTTGCTTGATATGTGCCTCCATCCGGTTGACCTTTTGCTACAATAGCGCGGTCCTGTCCCTCTCAGCACTTCTCGACTTGTCAGTCCCCATCTGGTTGACCTTTTGCCCCAATAGCGTAATTTTGCCCTTCGTGGCCCTTCTCAGAATTGCCACATCCCTCCAGGACGACTCCGGGCTTTGTCCTGGGCGTCTAGGGCCCGGGGGTTTACATCTCGCTCTCCAAGAGGCGTCCGCGTCTGTCTAGCTGGCAGGTCGCTTTCCAGAGTGGCCTCAAGGCTATCTAGCTGCTCCCATGTCATAAGTTCGTCCGTCATGGCTCTTTGCGGCGGTTGCTTCCTTCAGCTTAGTCTCGTATACCACAGCAGGTTCTTTTGCGGCAACAAGGTCTCCTACCGCGACAGCTCTGTCAACCTTGAGGGCTCCCCGCCGACTCCATTGCTTCTATAGTAACTCCTCCTGTTGCAGAACGCCCAGATTAGGCGAGTCCAAATCCATATCGAGCCTCCCACACCCACTAACTCGGTTCCAGCGAAACATACATGAGTAAGCCTCCAATACAGGCTCATTGGAAGGTCTCCCGCATATCGGATCGGCTCTTGACTACCCGAGTGGATGCTACACTGTCCCTTACCGCCCACGGGAGGGTCCTCGACTGGCGGCTGTCTTCACTCAGTACTCTAAGCAGCATCAAGTTCCTTCCTCGCCCGCGACACCAAGTTCCTGATGACCACCATATCGATCCGTGCACGCACCAAGCGTTTTACTTCTAGCATCCTCTGACGCCGCTTCAACCCGCGTAAGGACACCACATAGTTTATCATAGACAGCCGCTCATAGATTAAGCCCCTGGCCAACAGCCGCTGGCGCTGGGTGCTAGTGATGGGCAGGAAAGAGATTTCAGTTGGTGCTGGGAGCGGCGCTCTAGCTGCTATGATGGCTTCGTAGGTGGCTAGCTCTCTTAATAGCGGCTAGCTTTGATGCAGTAGGTTATGTGGAGCTGTCGTCGGGACCGTTCCTCCATTCTCGTATGGTGATTCATGACCCCTCTGCGGCTGTTGCTTCCTCGCGCCAAATCTCCCGTATTATAGCAGGTTCCTCCACAGTAACAGCTTCTCCCATGGTGACAGCTCTATCAGGCTTGAGGGTTCCACGTCGACATAATTGCTTATATCGCTTCTACAGTACAGTACCATAGCTCTCGTCCCCCCTGCATACAAATTATTGGACAATTTCCGTAGGATCCGTAGCAGTAGGTAGAGGACATAAACCGTAAATACAGTCCCGAAGCAGTAGGGCCCGAAGTGATAATTTTGTAATGCATATTCCTATAATTGAAGCTATTCTGACTACTATATATACTGTTCCGGGCCCTATTCCTGTGCCAATTCGTGGCTCGGATCCTGAAACCCTCCTGGTTTCGGTCCGTCCCTAGAGCTTCAGAATCGAAACTTCAGAATCGGAAGATCTAGGATCCGGAGGATCACGAAGCTGACTGACACAGCTTCGGTATCAGGGCTCTGATCCCTGCTTCCGGGTTGAGGATTCAACAAATTAATCGAGTTCAGCCTCGCATCTACACCTTCCCAGGCCCGGTAGAGTAAATATTCCTCGGCGGCGATAACTGGTTCTTCAACCAGGTCTTCCACCTTGGGAACTTGTCTTGGAACGGGGCTTTTCTCTCATTTTCCCATCGCCCGCGGCAGGGTCGTTGACAGTGCAGCAGCCTCCACGCAGTCAGCAACACCAAGATCCCGTTGGGCCCGTAGTGCCTATTGATTGAGATTTGCAAAATCCCTTTCGGCGGAGTATCTTTGATTGGAAAGCAACAAGTTCTGGATCTGTTGCTCTAAAATCTTAAACTGTTTGTTAATGGCCAGCAGCGTCTCACATAGTCAGCTTCATAGCTTCCGTATACGTCGATTCGTTATAGCGGAACGACCGCAAGCTGCGTTTACGGGGATTGGGCTCGAGGCGCGCAAAAAAGGAGGCGGGGAGTGGACGTTCTGCCGCCATGGCGTCGTCATATATGGCCAGCCAGCTGCTCCCCCATTGTTATAGGCTCGTCCACCGTGGGCCTCGCCGCGTCCCGTTGTTGCCTTAGGCGTCTCACATAGTTCACATAGTCCAGTTTCATAGCTTCCGTACACGTCGTCCGTAATAGCGGAACGACCGCAAGCTGCGTTTACGGGCATTGGACCGGAGCGACGCAAAAAATGAGGCGGGGAGTGGATGCCCTGTCATAATGGCGTGGTCATATATGGCCAGCTGCTCTCGAGCAAAGCCCGGGTCCAGCAGCTCCTCCACCGTTGTAGGTTCTTCCGCCGTGGGCTTCTACTATACTGTAGCCGCTTTCTCAGGTTCGGCCTCGTCTACTATAGAAGCTTCTTTGCCGCAGAAAGCTCTCCCGTGTCGATAGCTCCGTCAACCTTAGGTGGCTCCACGCCAACTCTATCGATCTCATCGTCCCTTCCATACGCCAAAATTAAGCGAGTCCAGGCGCGCTCTATAGCTTCCCACCGCCGCCCACTAAACTCTCCCCAGTGAAATCCACCTTAGCAACCCTTTCACCAGCACGCTCATTGGAAGGCCCTCCCACTTATCGATCGAGTCTCGACTCCCCGAGTGGATGATGCTGTGATACTGGTAGGTGGTTCAAACCGCTACGAGTTTTTATGGGTTGTGGCATGGTGTGTGTACCCAATATTTGATCCGGGAGGCCCAGAACAGGACGATTTTTGTGGGCGGGTATCCATGCAAGATAAAAGTTGGTGTGATAAGGGTATAGATGGTTTGTTTATAGGTGGGTTATAATAGCACGGTGACTTATTGTTTTTTTGCGTTTGTGTTTGTTTTGGTTTTGGGAGTGCTGAAGATATATTTTTTGTGATTGGGATTCGAAGGCTTCATTCTTTTTCATCTTCGATATCCAAAGTCCAGTGCGCTCACTCATTTGTGCCTGGACATTTCGCTCTTTACAATTGAACTGTCACTTTAGGCTCGACTAGGAAACCAGCCTCAGCTTGCAGATACGCAGATCATTATAGCTACCCGTCGCTGGTGAAGCAAGTCACTCATTACTCTACTCGGAAAGGAAAGAGAGTCTACAGCCGTCTCTTCGAACGTCCACTTGAAATATTACCACCCATGTCTCGTCCCAAGATGTCCCGCGGACACCGTCCCTCCCCTCTCGCGCAAGAGGTTCACCTGCGCCCCGTCTCAGAACAACCCAACCTTTCCGTTGCCGACCCGATATTCTGGAAGCGCTTCTCAGCCGCAATACACGAGGCCCAGGGAGCCGCCGACATAGAGAATGGCAGAGCTAGGTCAACGAGTGCCAGCACGGGGAGGACTATGGACAAGCATGGGTTAGTTGCATACATACCCCAGATGGTGGGAGCGCGTCAGATGGGATGACAGGGCGGTGCGAGTAAGCTTGACTCAAATGCTGACTGTATTTGCTACAGGGACGATTGGCTGGTTAGACAGCGTCAGAAGAAGCGCCGGTGCCGAGTTATTTCGTGGAGTATTATGCTCTCGATCGCGTTGGTGATCGTAGCGGTGGCTGTTCTTGCATGGTACTTCACCGCCGGGCCTGGAAAGGTGGATGGTGGGAAGGGCAAAGCTTGAAAGAGACCTTTGGGATATATGGGATCATGGTGTTGTGTTCATTGCGTGCGTGCAGATATTGGGTCTTCTGGCACCGGAGTTTGATGGCGTGGAAATATACGAGAACTACGATATAATGATAATGTAAGATAGAGACAAGATCACGTTTTGGATCCAATGTGTGGAATTGGACCCGGTATTTTGCTCGATGAGCGGTCAGCAGGGGGGAGACTGAGATATGCGGCTGAAGTGTGACCTGGAGGATCAGAACGAGTGGATCACCACATCACACTCCTGTGTCACGAATCGAGACATTTTTGCAAATTGAGAAATCATCGTCAATTTGACGCCGTGTCTAAATATAGCCCCCTAAGATGCAGCCTTGTAGGATGGATGCTGACATCAGTTCGCTCACTCGCTGCACGTGTATCCAACTAGGGGATCCGGTGGTCTGACGGAACTCCCCTTTGATGAGATGAGGATGCCATAAATACGTAGATGTGGGATCCATCCTCATCTCGGACTCATCTCGGAGCACGGTCAGTTGGGCTGTGGCGTTAATATCGATGGGCACACCATGGCCCATGCTCGCGCGCTTTTTCTCTGCAGCGGTATCCCTTCCGTCTGTGCCTTCAGACTTTCCCCCTTCAGCCCTTCAGCCGGCTCAAAGGGCTGCATCCTATGACGTTGTTGAGAAGCTATTTCTTTCAAAATAATTTAGAAAGGCGAGAATCCCAATCGGTGCTTTCTGGAGGCAATAACTGCAGGGTGCAAATTAAACGCCACAAGATACTAGGCTTGGTGGGTGGCTGGATCGCTGTTTGACCATCTTCGACCACTTCGACCACGGGATGGCTGCCCAAAGATGTGACTTGGGCACGCCCCTTCCAAGAGTAACGAGTTTTGTTTGTTTGCTGGATCCAGGCAAGGCCTCTTCTTCCCATATGTGAAAATTGAGATAGAGTACCTCCGTGCAAAAATCAACAAAAGGGGTGGGGCAAAAAGGAGAGTAATAAGTAGAATAATAAGTAGAATAATAGAGCAATAGAGTAATAGAGCAATAGAGTAATAGGGTAATAGAGTAGTAATAGAGTAGACCATTCTAAACTCATTTGGCCACAATAGGAAAAGGACTAGTAGGATCTATGGAAATTATGGAAGTTACAGTTTGTTGTTCGTTCCATTTTGCCCCTTTACAGGTGGTATGGTCCCCTTACTACGTATCTTTCTCGGAATAATGATAATCCACCTCCAAATGTCCCTCATCCTGGTTTCTATCAAGGCCAAGCTGTCAAGGAAGCTCGAGTTTATAATAAATAACGCTCCTGTCACCGGTTGCATCTGACCCCCTCATTCCCATTCAACCTCTAAAACTTCAATTCACTCCTGTGTCGCTGATCCCAGCCTCATTATTTACGCTTCAAAATCCTTCGTGCGCTGTTGACATAGGTAAGCTGATCGCACAACACCGCTTTCCCAGCTAAAACTGTCCCCAAGGGGTAGTTATGTAGTTATTGACGTCAGAACCTTGAATTGCATCCGCTGACAACAAACCTTACATAGAGAGTGCGCCCACCAGCTCCAACAAGCAGATCACACCGAAGACAACGCTCCCGAAAATCAACTGTTGATACTCTGTACATTTTAAAAGATGGCATCATTCAAGAGCTCTCTCCCGACTCACCTGAAGCCTTCATCGGCGCTTGGGGGCGGGAGCGATGGCGGACCGGATAGCGTCCCAAGACACCATGGAAAGTCCCAATCACACGTCGTAAGTGTCACTTCCTGTGTATCCTGTTCACCTAGCAATATATCGAAGCCCCTATCTTGGTACCTCGCGAGGTTCAAGCATCCAGGGCAATCACGACATGGGTTGGCCATGCGGGTTGGCTGGGATACAGTGGCGAAGCGATTTGAGGTTTGGGGACTCATTTTGCAAGGCTCTGGGAATCAAGTGATAATTTCCTACGAAGCGATCCTACTTGGATTCGCTTCGCGAATCATCACAGTGGTTTGAATGTAGGGAGAGGAATTGTCAAGCGTCGCACCGGGTGCCCCAGTCGACAAACGTCTTCCCAACGCCCATTCCATAATCTCCAGGTCCCGATTCCACAAAGACGTACCAGAATCGTCATATCAAATCGGACATTCAATAGGACGTTCCTAGATTGGATTCATTCACCAGCCATTCCCTCACCCTGAATCTTCTTACTTGGTCCTTCCGGACGAAGCTTAGAGGTTTCCTTGTCAGAATTGGTCCTACTGCCAAAAATGGCGTTAACAAAAGATCCTGCTATCTACAATAAAGCAATATCCGAACTATCACTGACAGAATGTACAAAACAGGCCTTTGAGAACACATCCACATCAATTGCCGCGAGCCAAATGCGAAACCACCTTAACAAGCTCTCAGACACCGTTTCTGACGAGCAGGAGAAGAAGGTAAGGCCCAGACACACACGGTTTATGTTTCAGCTACTAATCTTGTGTAGCTTTTCGAGACTGAGATGGACAACTTCTTTGCCCTTTTCCGCAGGTATTTGAACGATAAGGCGAAGGGAAGCACTCTCGACTGGGACCGCATTGCGCCCCCTGCCGAGGGCCAGGTTGTCGACTACAACGACCTTGCAAACTCCGAGTCTGTCTCCTTCCTGAATAAGCTGGCAGTATTGAAGCTCAATGGCGGTCTCGGTACATCCATGGGATGTGTTGGACCCAAGTCGGTCATCGAGGTCCGCGATGGAATGTCGTTCCTCGATCTCTCCGTTCGCCAGATCGAATATCTCAACCGCACATACAAGGTCAACGTGCCATTTGTCCTGATGAACTCGTTCAACACCGACTCTGACACCGAGAACATCATCAAAAAGTACGAGGGCCATAGCATTGATATCATGACCTTCAACCAGTCGAGGTACCCAAGAGTCCTGAAGGATTCGCTGCTCCCAGTCCCCAAGTCATTCGACTCCTCCATCACCGATTGGTACCCACCCGGACACGGAGATGTCTTCGAGTCCCTTTACAACTCTGGCATCCTTGATAAGCTGATTGCCCGTGGTGTCGAGATTGTCTTCCTCTCCAACGTTGACAACCTGGGAGCTGTTGTCGATCTCCGCATCCTCCAGCACATGGTCGAGACCAAGTCCGAGTACATCATGGAGTTGACCGACAAGACCAAGGCCGATGTCAAGGGTGGAACCATCATCGACTACGACGGATCCGTCCGCCTCCTTGAGATCGCCCAGGTCCCCAAGGAGCACGTCAACGAATTCAAGTCCATCAAGAAGTTCAAGTACTTCAACACCAACAACATCTGGCTCAACCTCGAGGCCGTCAAGCGCGTCGTCATGAACAACGAGCTCGAGATGGAGATCATCCCCAACAACAAATCCATTCCCGCCGACAAGAAGGGCGAATCCGACGTCTCCATCGTCCAGCTCGAGACCGCCGTCGGCGCCGCCATTCGTCACTTCAAGAACGCGCACGGCGTCAACGTGCCCCGTCGCCGCTTCCTCCCCGTCAAGACCTGCTCCGACCTCCTCCTCGTCAAGTCGGACCTCTACTCCCTCAAGCACGGCCAGCTCCAGATCGACCCCACCCGCTTCGGCCCGGCGCCACTGATTAAGCTCGGCACCGACTTCAAGAAGGTCTCCGACTTCCAGAAGCACATCCCCAGCATCCCCAAGATCCTCGAGCTCGACCATCTTACCATCACCGGCGCCGTCAACCTCGGCCGCGGCGTCACGTTCAAGGGGACGGTCATCATCGTCGCTACGGAGGGAAGCACCATCGACATTCCGCCGGGATCCATCCTCGAGAACGTCGTCGTGCAGGGCTCCCTGAGACTGCTCGAGCATTAGAGAGGCATCGCAGTGCGATTATCTGCTTTTTTTACTCGTTTATAATTGCGGTGCCACCCGTCTCTGACTGCGTTTGTAAACCTGCGGCGGTGAATTAATTCTTTACGTTTTCTTGTTGGGAGCGGATTTCGCACAAAGGGGTGGGGTGATGGGGAGGAGGGAGGAGGGGAAGTAAATAAGGGTGAGGGCCTGCGTGGAGGCCGCGCTGGGGGTGATGCGGTGCTTTTTTGCTCGTTTTGCGCGATTAGGTAGATACTACTGGGCTACGTTGTAGCTATTCAATTTCATGGACTTCCGTACTCCTGCTGCCCAAAAATGTGTATAGAGACTGTGCGTCCTTGTGTCGCTTAACTGCGTATAACTCCTATAAATGGAAAAAGAGGAGCCAGTGATTTATGTTGGTGTTACTCTTTCTGGAAACTGTTGGAATCATTGTCGTCGACAGTGACTAAAGCGCAGTCCTTGTCCATAGCTTCTAGCGGCACGAGCAAGCTATTGCAGATTACGGGGTTTTGAATGCTTTGGAATATATAATTCCCACCCTTCACCCCCAATGCTTCGCTCGCTATGTAAGATATAGAGCTCAGCTCATACCAGCTATCTCAATCTCATCTACAACCCCCCACGCACACAAAGGGGAAACCCCATCCCCCATCCAACCGCACCAAGGTATCCGCATCCAAGCGCACACAAAAACCCCCAAAAAGCGCCCCCTTGGTAACAGCGAAAAAAGTCTACGCTCCCGCGCCAAACTACAGTATTCAACCCCCCCCCCTCTCCTCTCCTCTCCTCAAAAAACAATCGAATCCGTGAGTTCCCAGCACATGTGATATCCCACTCCCCTGAGTGGGTAGGCAGCGCATCTCAGATGTCTCAGCCGACCTCACTCCTATCTCACTCACGATTGCCAGGCTGTACTTTCTTTGCCTTCGTACGTCCATTAGAGCTTGTTACCACTATTGCAGTTTATTTCATACTCCCCCCCCACCCCGCTCACTCTCCGCGCCTCTTAGTGCTCCCGAAGCGGAACACGTGTTTTGTCTCGGAAGGGAGGGCTTTGGCGAAGCGGTCGCGCTCTGTGGTGTTGCGTTAGTGGGGGTGTGTCTCAGTCGGGAGCGGGTAGGATGTGCCGATTGGGGGGGGGGTAAATAGGGGGATACGTACCATCCTCGACATCGAAGGTGACGATGATATCATCGTGCTCGACGGGGTACTCTAGCTGGTCTAGACAAACGAATCCATTTTCTGCGCCCATGCCAGCTTCATCCTGAACCGGCAGGACGAATTTCGCATCCGCGAGCTTGACGCCGTAGTTCCCCCCCTTATTAAACGACTCGAAGGAATCTGTAGGCTTAAGCACGAAGTTCATGCTCTCCCCGTGACTGAACCCTTCAAAGAACGCAACGAGTTGCACAACCCCGTCGCTCTCGAGGAGCTGCACGCACGCTGCCTGCGTCTCCCATTTCTTGTGTATGGGCACGACCATGCGGCGGCGCGAGATGGCGAAGGTAGCAGCTGTGCCAGAGAAGAGGACCGAGAAGCCCGTGATGGCGCGCTGGAACTCGTGCATGTCGTCATGGGTAGCGAAGCTATAGTGGCGCGCTGTAGGCACCTTAGCGACAAGGACGAGGAGCTGTGCCAGTCTTTGCCGCACTTCTGCGGGTGTCTGCGACTCGGTGCAGGAGATGATCAGGTCGTGTTGCTCGGAGCGGAGGATGGTGAGGCGCGGGTGCAGGCCCTTGGTGCTGATGCGGATTTTGAGCTCGCCGGGGGCGAGGACGAGGCGGTCGGTGATGCGGTCTTTGTTTTGGGATTCGGCGATGATGCGGAGGTGGCCGGCGCTTTGGACGGCGGTGGAGTTGAAGTCAGAGCCTTTGTTGTGGATGATGACGTGGAGGGCGCTCCATTCGAAGCTGTCTAGGACCATGCGGGGGACGGCCGTGGACTGGCTTTCTGCGGATCGGGTCAAGGAGAAACCCTTTAGTGGTAGGACTGCGGCTGTCGACTCGTTTGGTCGCTGGCCGCCGATGATGGTGTTGTGGAATGCGAATCGGTCTTGGTTTGTTTCAAACGTTAGACCTATCGTCGCGGCAGGCCCGTCTCCAAAGTATAGATAGAGCGAGGCACCGTAGTCGACCCGCGTGTGCTCATACCGGATGGGCCTTTGGGTCGGGAGGTCGTGAGTAATGCCGCACAGCGACTTTGTATTTGGCCCTGTGGCCACAGCTAGACGGACCCCACGGTGCCGAGTATGGGGCCCGTTAATCGATTTCTCCACGACCACCTTCTCAAACACCCTTACTTTGCAATGTAACGCCGCATCCTTGGGGAAGATCTGGTCAGATGGCTCCTTTGTCGCATAGTGTGCTGATCGAACAGTTGTTTCCATAACAAAGACTTCGTCGCTGTGAGCGAGGAAGCTTGTCTGGACCTTGCTTGTGTATTCATACATATTCCACAATGTGGGGAAGTCCCAAGGTGCGAATAAAACACGCGCCCTGAAGAGCTTTCCGAGCTTGACGTCGATTAAGTCTCTCTTGGTGTCCCATGCTACGTCCTGCCAAGTGGGAGAGCTGCCGTTTCTAGGTTGGATGGCGATGGAGATAACTCCATCCTGACTGGAGATCACAGCGGTGATAAGTTTGTCGTTACGCTCACGCTGAACTGAAAGGATGCACGGTAACGGTTGCCGTATGGGTTCATGTCCGTCTCGGGTGAGGCAGACACCAACCTGTATCCGGCTGTATGTAAACATATTTTCGGTGTCTCCCAATGGCAGCGCCTCCGTTGACGAAATGCTGTCTGGCCCTTTCGGTGATAGTATTGAGGATAGGGGAATCCCGGAGAAAAGTGTCTGAATTGAGGGGTCTTGCCAGGGGTAGTCGACCCAAATTGCCGTATTGAGCCCTTGTGTGAGAATGGCGTCGTTACTATGCGGAGGCATGATATTGTTCTTCTTCATAGATCCAGTCAATTTTCGAAGATTTGAGAATAGTGCCTGATATCGTTCGAGGAGTCTGGCGACATCATCTTGCCCACTCGCTAGAGCCGTTCTTTCAAGGGCCGTGATCTCATCAGAGGATCGGTCTCCGATCTCAGGTCGGTGTGCCAAAATCTCGCTGAGTATCCACTGGCATTTTGCCAAGTCAGCATTGCCTTGCTGCTGTAGGATGTCAACTCTTTCCGAATTTGGTGCACGGCGTTTGGCAACTTGCTCTATAGTACTCCTGCCCCTCAAAAACCACCAAGAAGCGGCCCTTAGTAGATTTTCGAAAGATGATGCGGACAGGGATTCCTTAGACTCTGCTGATAACTCAAATAACTTATACAAGTAGCCGACCCGGCCGGCGAATTCATCCAGCGATTCGTTATTTACCACCGATGGCGCAGGTAGATTGGCTACCAGCCTTGCCATTGACCGAGGTTCTGCATTAATAGGCGAGATATTTTGCGTTGGACCACCATTTGACTTTGGGCTTCTGGCGGCACTCTCGCTATAGTATCCGGGCGGCGGCGAGTTTGAGCTAACATCCGTACCAGGCGATTTCGGTTGTCCATTGAAAGCGTCGGCGACTTGAGAGGAAAATGATTCTAACGGGGTGTTGCTGCCACGAGCTACAGGCCGTCTTTGGACAGAGGACCGAGGGTTTTGCTGATCGGCTATGAGAGCTTGTCCTTCAGAGATCTTCATCTCTTTCTGCATCCTTGCTACGAGAGCTCCATGGCCTGGGTCAGTGGCCGCACCGGTGGCAACCGCTGGTACGCCGTAGTTGCTAGGTACGTTGGCCCTTCTTTGCGAAGCACTTGGTTGTAATATTGGAGCGGCCGGTGTCCAAGGCTGGCCTGCCGGCGCTTGAGCTGCTGGTTGCGACCTTGGATCCTTCGGCGGTTGATTCGATCGTTCTTGGTCGTTCTGCTCATCGTTGCCTCCATTTGGTCGATATCTTGGAGGAGGCTGCCTAGCACTAGCCTGAGGATATGATTGTGCATGTTTCTGTGAAGCAGATATATGTGCCGTCGGGGCCTCCGCCTCGTCACCGCCTTCTCCGATAATTTCAGGATACTTGTCGGTGAAGCGAACCACGAGTCCCTTGTGGCTTGGTCTAGACGGCCTGGGTTCTGGGCGAGCTTGCGACGAGTCTCTCGATTGGATAACCTCAAAAGCCGTAGGCCAGCGCTGGGCGCCAAGGGTATCAAGCTTTGCGAGTTTCGGTGTCGCATTCTGGTTCGGATCGGCTCCATTCATGTGCAACGTGTCGGAAGAGGGACGCTGTAGGAATGAGGCTACATATTCGTCCTGGTTTCCCTTCCTCTCCTGTTTCTTGCCGAACAACCTTCCAACTAGGCGCGCTGCTGTGATCTGCTTTGAGCTGGGTTGTTCATCCATGACGAGACGTCGAGCCGAGCGAGCTACCCAGAGACATTGGTTAGCAAGAAGTGTGATGGAAGGGCGCGTGGAGGAGCGTGGATAGCTAGACAAGACAGATCTGTCGCTTGTTCGTGATATCCAGTGCTAGGGTCGGTGAATAAATAACACTTACTAGCTAGATCTCCATGAGGCAGCCCGTTTTGAATGGGATCGTGTGCCTCGCCCGCAGCAGCGGGGGTCGAGATAAAGGTCGCGTTTGTCAGATACGGAAGGCCCAGCGGGGTATGCGACCATCTCCACTGCTGCGGCCGCCTGTTCTTTTCGCAGCACCGACACCGACGGTAAAAATAATATAAAATAAGTTGGTCGCCCAGACTCGGGCTATGTTCACAACGATAAGCCAGTGCACCAGGAAAGGAAAGTCGTGCGTAGACTGTGACAGGTGATGAACTGACACAGTCTACGCACGCGGTCGTAGGGTATACCACAGTATATATCCATTGTGCCGAAGCCTAACAAATACCATCCATACAAACGTCTTTCTCTTTACTCCATCCTCCGTATAAATCCATTTTCCTTTTCCTCCTCCTCCTCCTTTTCTTTTTCCTTTTCTTTTTCCTTTTCTTTTTCCTTTTCCTTTCCGCCCTTCCCTACCCCTTCCCTCCCCCTTCCCCTTTGCTGTGTTGTCTGTATTCCCATCCCGGTTCATGTTCCGCGCCAAGCAGCTTACTTCAAATCGTGGCTTAGCTCGTTTATAGTGGCGCATTTCGATACAGAGAGAGACTCCACCACAGACACATACTATTGACTCTACTATTGACTCTCACGTCACTCCATCGACCCATTTCCTCCTTCCCAGGTCCCAGGTCAGCTAGGGGAAAATCTCGACCGTTGGGCTCACAACCACGGGTTCTCCATACATGACGTCGAATTGTCCTTGATCTGGCCTCGACAGAGCCTCGCCATTGCCTGCATGCTCAACCGGCCGTGCGCGACGCTGCTCGACTTCGTCCAACGAAACCCATGAGGGTGTTCCCCGAGCCAACTCGAAGCGCCAGCGAATTCTTCGGCCAGAGCGACAATGCGCCCGGAAATCAACGGCATATTGCTCGAGATGTCTGCAGATGTATCCAGCGCCCGCCACGAAGCCAGCCACTTCGAATCCACCGGCGGCTACGATCACAGGCCATCCCACCCAAGGAGATGCGGTATTGCTGACCGCAAGAAGGCCATACGTGCGGTTCGGAAGGCCCCAAGGCGTCGCCTCCTCCAGTATGGATTGGCCTTGATAGCTGCGAGCCTCTGCGTCACGCCTGTTCAAGCTGTTTTGGTCCCGTTTGAAAATTGTCTCCAGCAATCATACATCAACAGTGTCCCCAAGAAACTACAATTCACACCCACGTTCGTGGATGTTTCCTTCGATGCAGCAACTGACCCACACAATCTACGTTTCAAGGTCTATGGGAATGTATCCGGAGCATATACGAACGTCAATCTCCCAACGGGGAATGACCCTGCGTGGTCTGACCCGAAATTTACAGATGGGAAGATAGAAAACCTTCCGCAACCTATTTACAAATATACCACGCTATACAACAAAATAAATGTTCTGACATATCAACCGTGGAGCCAGTTTCTCAACTTCTGTGACCAGTTGGACAATGGAGTCTGCCCCCTTGGACCGGCATTCTCTGCAGATATGTAAGGATACCCATCCGTCTCCTACTATATTTGCATATACTAACATACGATTGTATAGAGATCACCCAGACAGCTTCCCCAATTTCGAAGTATGGAATAGTATGGATTCATCATATGCTTTCACGTCCCTGATTGCTACATTTTTGATCATAAATGGCGACTTAGACCCCGCGACAAATCTCGGCTGCATATCTACAGAAGTGACTCCGGACCTCGGCGGTAGCATCAGCGATATGCTGAGGCTCGTTCCATTTACCGTGCTTATACTGGTTGGAATTGCAACGGCCGTTGCGGGCATCCTGAGCCCCTGGGGCACCACAAATCTCTTCAAGTGGACGACAAACTATGGCAGAGATGCCGACCTGCTGAGATTGGTTACGCCTGGTTTTGGTGACTGCTTACAGTACATTCAATTCGCTGTCCTCACAGGCGGGCTTTCCCTAAGCTATCCCGGCTTCTATCAACCCGTCGTCAGCAAATTTGCTTGGTCAGCGCTCATGTTCGACAAGAGTTTCGTCACGAAAGGAGATGGCACAAAAGCCCTCGTTGATGGAATTTATGTCACCCATGGAACACATGGCCTTGATCATATAAGCCAGCTCGTTGGAATGACGGATGTGACTGATATATGGGCAGGCATGGCCGTGTGGCTATTGTCGATCATAGCAATCGTGATAGCTGTCATTCAAATCGGGTTCTTCCTTCAATGGGCTTTCCGTCGCTTCTCCAGGATCCAGGAGGAAGATTTACGGTCGAAGAACATGCCATTTACCGTCGGCAACGTCATACGCATGGTCTTCAGTTACTTTTTACTACCGATTACCACGTTCTCGATGTTCCAGCTTGTCATCGCTGGAAGCTCTCCCCCAGCCCCAGTAGCTCTAGCTGCCCTACTACTTGTTACCCTCGTCATATTCGCAGGCTGGCTGCTACACGTTGTTGCGTCGAGTAAGCCTCGCTCATTCCTCTTCGACGACCTCAGGACCGTTCTTCTATACGGGTCGCTCTATAATACATATTCGGACGATGCGGCTACTTTTGCCCTTGTCCCAGTGCTACTCACGTTTGTCCGCGGGATTGGTATTGGGGCTGTTCAGCCGTCTGGAATTGCACAGATTGTGCTGTTGGCAATCTGCGAAGTCATCAATATCGTGGCCTTGCACGCATTCCGACCATTCCATTCGCCAACTTCAATGAACGCATACCATACATTCTTCGCCGGTGTTAGGTTTACCTCAATTCTTCTTATGGTTGCATTTGCACCATCTCTCGATGTTTCGGATGGGGTAAAAGCGTGGATTGGTTACTCAATTTTAGTGCTACACGCCATCGTATTGATCTTCGGATTTCTACTCAATGCGTTCCAAACGATAGTCGAGGTTGTAGCTCGCCTGGCTGGCGTCGGAGTTGACGATGACAGTGGTTTCGCCAAAGTCTTTGGCTTGAGACAGCTATCTCGACGATTGCCGCGCGGAGCATACTCGAAGCAGAGCCAGGGCGCGCCGTTAGTCGACCGCAAATCACCACAGTTATCGAATGGTGGCTTAAGGACCCAGTCGGCAAGCAGTGGGCATATACTCTTGGATGGAGCTAGGGCCATTGACAGAAATAGCAGCGCCTCGATCCAGCCTACGAACATGGACGGCTGTAGTAGCTATACTCCAACGACGGCTCAGGATGGAAATGCGTTCCCATTCCTGCCATCCGCAGCAGTCCTAGCAGGACAAAAGGATAGAGGTGCTTTAACCCTCAACACTGTGGACACCTCAGATCCTTATTACCGACCACCTCGAGCCCGTCGACCCACGATAGACGCCTATAGTCCTGGAGCCAGAAGCAGGGGTTCTTGGGCAAGTGGCGATTGGGGAATGAGAAGGTCGAGCCAGCCTGGGTCATCAACTGCAGGCGACCCCTTTGAGGGGCCATCTGCCTCTGGTCGCGAAACCCCCGTCCCTTCATTCATGACCGCCCAGAACCAGCATGCCGACCGCCCGTCCCAAGAACACAGGAGGTCCAAAACGGATTACACGACTCGAGAAGTCGACTTCTACTACGGCGTCCGCGGACCCGCACTCAACGCCAATGTGCCGAACCGCCGACTCCGCACCGGCCCAGTCGACCCCACGAATCCGGTAACCGTTGCCAGCGGGTGGTTCAAGAATCTCCTGGGTGGAAAGACCAAGGAGAAGGGGAAAGGCTTCGAAGTCGTCCGAAGCTCGCGCATGCCTCCCGGCATGGTGGACCCTCGCAACGGACCATCCCCAGAATCTCCACCCGAGGGCATCCCCGTCGCCGCCACGGGCGCCATCCGGCGCGACTTGGACAACGACGAGCCTACGAATGTGGGGGAGGGGAATGAGACGATGGTGGGCGTGAAGTCGCCGTTGTTGCCGAAACACGATGATGATTCGGATGACGATGATTTGGATGAGGGGTTCGAGATGACCCATATCTCCGACGCGCCTCCTTTACTCCCCGAGCTAGATCGCGGGAAGGGGCTGGAGATCCCGAGTCGTTTTCCTAGCAAGGCGAGCTCAAGGATGCAACAGCCGCCGCTGGTGGATGAGGATATTCCGATTCCACGCAAGAGCTCTAAACGCGCGTCTCAGCAGGGCTTACAACCCCCTGATGCGTCGGGACAGTTGTCATTCGTGTCCTCATCCCCTGGTACTTCGGCTCGAGGGCAACACGACGATCAATCAGGCCCTTCACACTCCCGCAACGACTCAGTGGAACCGCCGCTTATAAGCCTCGACGACTCGCTCCTGGGTAATCTGAATGACCACACGCGCCACGATCGCCCGACGAGCATGGGCGTGGTGAGGAATCATAGTATCCGCGTCACGGATCAGGGGTCGGATGTGGATGAGGTGCGGAGTAGCGCGGCGGAGATTGTGAGTCTGAGTAGCCAGCGGTCGCGGGAGACGGGGCGGTCTGGCTGGGAGATGGGATAATAACTAACCAATACTCTACTAACTACTACTACTTGGGCGATTTCTTCTTTTTTCTTCTTCAATTTTGTACATGCGGGGGGATAGGGGGGGGGGGTAAGGGTTCACGAATCTCCTTTATTTTCGTCGGAGAGCGTGGCGGAAGGAAAAAAGTTCTCCTGGGCGCAAAAGCGGGAGGGGATGGGGGGGCAACTTGTATATAATGGTCGCCTTTTTATTTTTTGAGCAAAGCAAGCGGGAGGGAGGGGAGGGATAGCGATTTGCTGGGAAAGGGGGGAGTTATTTTTTTGCGCTGGTGCTTATGAAAGCGACGACGGGAGGTCGTTGTGTGATATAATGATAGGGAGGGGGACGATAGGAGGGATGGGCATGGCGATGGGGTATGGGGATAGAGGGGGCATATACAGTGGGTGCTGGGTGCTGGCACGCGGAATAGCTAGAACCGACGGACCTTTTGTGGTGGGGGAGAAGCAATATATGCATGTACTGTACGTAACGAGGGACAGGATGGGCGGGTTGCAGATTGAGTGATCTAGCCACAGTGTGTAAGTTACTCAATCAAGGACATAAACTTCACCGCCGTAGAGTGCGTTTGCGGCATCTCATCCCTAGGCTCACCTAGGAACTCCATCCGTGCCGCCCTCAACGCCTTACCTCATCCAAACCTAGGCCTAGCGCGGGAGTGCGGGGATTGATTATCCGACCCCAGCCCAGCTCAGCTCGGAAGGTGTTAGTAGTTGTTATGTTACATAGTACAGTAGTGCTAGGACCTTGCTAGGCTGACGGGTTCCACTTTAGGTCGATTAGCGGATGTTGCTGGGAGGGCCCCCCCCGACCTTCATCACGGAAAAACAACATCTGAGACATTCAATTCCAGCTGAAGCGCAATTTGCAACCTCAGCTGTCGCGACATCCCATCCCATCTCACTTCAAAACCCCCAGTTGCCCAGACACGCCCAATTGATCAACACCGCACACCTCGCCCACTCTCCAGCTGGCAAAAAAGCTAAGTAGGGCCTGGCCACATCGCCTGCCTCATTGACGCACCCTCCCCAAACCCCATCACCATAAAATCGGCAACCATGGCGACCGCTGCGCAGGAAGCAGAGATCAAGCAGCAGGGCGCCTTCGAGGCGTCGCGCGACCCCACAAGCCCGGTGTCGGCCGAGGATGCAGAGCTCAAGGCCATGATGGAGAGCAAGAAGGCGGGCGTGCAGGCGTTCTCGTTTGATCCGAACGCGACGGCCGAGGAGAAGGCCGCGCAAGCTGCATCCGTAAGGAGTCCCCGACGACCTGGCGCGCGAATTGACTACTAACGGTGGTATAGCATGTGCCGGAGGGATTCCACCACCAGCACAAGACGAAGGGGTATGCGATTGCGGCGGACATCGAGGATGGGAAGCCGGGCGCGTACGATCTGCCGCCGCCGACCACAGCGGGTGCGATTGAGCCGGTGAAGACTAAGGATGGGAATATAGTGCAGGGGCAGCAGGAGGGCGACAAGGAGAAGTGGGTTGATCGCACGGGATGGGCGCCGAGGTTTGGCAATGGCGAGGATCCTGGTGCCGCGGAGGGGGAGTCGTTCCTTGACCACCAGACGTGGGTGGAGGGGAAGCTCTCGGATAAGTTCTATGGAGGTAAATTTGGTCGATTCGCGGGTTTTATGAGGCTTTTACTTATTTGAGTGCGCAGACTGGTATCACAATACGGCGGTCATTATTTTTGCCTGTTTGGCTTCCTACTTTATTGCCGTCCTCGGCGGTGGATTGGCCTGGGTTTTCCTGATCATGACCTCGTGTGGCACGTACTATCGCACATCGCTCCGCCGTGTAAGGAGGAACGTCCGCGACGACATCAATCGCGAGATGGCTAAGGCTAAGTCCGAGTCTGACACTGAGAGCTTGGAGTGGATGAACAACTTCATGGACAAATTCTGGCCCATCTACGCCCCCGTCATCGCAGACACCATCATCAACTCCGTCGACCAGGTTCTCAGCACCGCGACCCCCGCATTCCTCGACAGCATGCGCATGCGCTTCTTCACGCTCGGCTCGAAGCCACCGCGCATGGAGCACGTACGCAGCTACCCCAAGGCGGCCGACGACACTGTTCTCATGGACTGGAGATTCAGCTTCACGCCTAACGATACCGCGGATATGACCGCCAAGCAGATCAAGAACAAGATCAACCCCAAGGTGATTCTCGAGATTCGCATCGGTAAGGCAATGGTTAGCAAGGCGATGGATATCATTGTCGAGGACTTCGCCTTCTCCGGCCTGATGCGCGTCAAGATCAAGCTCCAGATCCCGTTCCCCCACGTCGAGCGCATCGAGGTGTGCTTCCTCGACCCCCCGGTTATTGATTACGTCTGCAAGCCTGTGGGAGGCGAGTACCTTGGTTTCGATATCAACTTTATTCCGGGTCTTGAGACCTTCATCAAGGACCAGATTCACTCCAACATCGGCCCGATCATGTATGCGCCCAACTCCTTCCCTATCGAAGTCGCCAAGATGCTCTCTGGCTCCCCCGTTGACCAGGCCATTGGTGTTGTTGCGGTAACCCTCCATCGCGCCCAGGGTCTCAAGAACACTGATAAGTTTGCTGGTACTCCGGATCCATACGTCGCATGCTCCCTGAACTTGAGAGAGATTCTCGCCCAGACAAAGATTATCAAGCAGAACGCCAACCCGGTCTGGAACGAGACCAAGTACATCATTATCACTTCTCTTCAAGATTCTCTTACCCTGCAAACCTTCGACTACAACGAAATCAGAAAGGACAAGGAGCTTGGTGTTGCCACATTCCCGCTTGAAAAGCTTCGCGATGTTCCTGAATACGATAATGAGCAACTGGAGGTCCTGTCCAACGGCAAGCCTCGTGGTGTCATTGCTACCACCATTCGCTTCTTCCCTGTTATCGGCGGCGGCAAGACTAAGGATGGAAAGGACGAGCCTGTACCGGAATCGAACACTGGTATTGCCCGCTTCACCGTTTCTCAGGCTAAGGACTTGGATGGTACCAAGAGTTTGATCGGCCAGCTCAGCCCGTATGCCATCTTACTTCTCAACAACAAGGAGATCTTCACCTCCAAGAAGCTTAAGCGCACTAACAACCCTATCTGGGACGGCTGCCACAAGGAGATTCTCATCACGGATCGCAAGTCTGCAAAGCTCGGCTTGGTTATCAAGGATGACAGAGGACTACAGACTGATCCTATCCTGGGTACTTACCAGATCAAGCTGAACGACATGCTGAGGCTTATGGAGAAGGGCCAGGAATGGTACAATCTCGCTGGAGACAAGTCTGGCCGCGCTAAGATGACTCTGCAATGGAGGCCCGTTGCCCTTACCGGCGTTGGAGCAGGAACCGGCGGATACGTTACCCCTATTGGTGTCATGCGCATCCACTTCAAGAACGCACGCGAGATCCGCAATGTCGAGACCGTCGGCAAGTCTGATCCATACGCAAGGGTTTTGCTTTCGGGCATTGAGAAGGGTCGCACTGTGACCCACCTGAACGATCTCAACCCCAACTTTGACGAGGTCATCTATGTCCCCATGCACAACGAGCGCGAGAAGCTCATCCTCGAGCTGCTGGATCAGGAGAACCTTGGAAAGGACCGTACTTTGGGCCAGGTCGAAGTTTTGGCTAGTGACTACATCAAGCAGGGCGAGAACGGAGAGTATCTCGTCTCTGACGCGAAGACGCCGCAAGCGAAGGGTCTCCAGCTACACGGAGAGGGTACCTCCAAGGGCACGCTCAACTTCGATGTTTCCTTCTACCCATGCCTTAACATCGCCGATCCCGAAGATGAGGAGGAGAAGAAGCACACGCGCCCTGCTTCAGAAATATCCGCGACACCTGGTCGTAAATCTATCGAGAGCGTGGCCACGAACCTTACCAAGGATGCTGTTGCTCAGGAGAACGCGAAGGTGAATGGTGACGGCAATGTTAACAAGGACTTGGCCGGCGCTCTCGCACAGGGAGAGCAAGAACAGGAGGACCTGGACGAGGAGAAGATGGCGCCAAAGATCAAGCTCTCTCCCGAGGAACTCCTCAATCACGACAGCGGTCTCGTCATCTTCAAGCTCTTGGAGGCTGAACTGCAAGAGACCAATGTGCATGTGGAGGTCTTGGTTGACGACATGCTGTTCCCGTCGTACTCGTCTGCGGAGGTGAGGACGAAGCATCACACTTTTGACGAGATTGGAGATTGCTTTATCCGTGAGCTTGAGTTCTCGAGGCTTACGATCCAATTGAGCAAGAAGGCTAATGTTCGCGGGGACGACGACGATGATGACAGGGTTGTTGCTAAGCTCACCGGTAACACGATGGATACTGTGAAGCAATGCCTTGTGAGTTATGCGTATCTGGTTTATGTTTGCCCTACTAATTCGTGATAGAACAACCCTACTGTTTTGAAACTAAAAGGCGATAGAGGACAAGTCAGCACCATCAAGGTCAGCCTCAAGTACATTCCCATACAGATGCTCCTCGACCCCAGCGAGAGCTTGAACAACATGGGAACTCTGCGCGTTGATATTCTCGACGGTGTCGACATGCCCTCGGCCGACCGCAACGGATACAGTGATCCATTCTGCAAGTTCGAGCTCAACGGCGAGAACGTCTTCAAAACCCACGTCCAGAAGAAGACCCTGTCGCCAGTCTGGAACGAGTACTTCGAGACCGAGATCCCCTCGCGCGCAGCTGCCGACTTCAAGTGCAAAGTCTACGACTGGGACTTCGCCGGCGACGACGACCACCTAGGAGACGCCAGGATCGACCTCAGCAGCATCGAGCCATTCAGGCCCCAAGAGCTCAAGCTACCCCTCGACGGCAAATCCGGCACCATCCGCATCCGCCTCGTCTTCCGCCCGGCCTACATCACGCGCACCCGCCACGGAACATCGACCTTCTCCGACAACTTCGCCGTCCCCGGCAAGATCGTCACCGGCGTCGCCGGCGTCCCCATCAAGGGCGTCAGCATAGCGGCCTCTGGCATCGGCGCGGGAGTCGGCCGCGGCGCGTCGTTCCTCAAACAGGGGTTTAAGAGCAAGAAGGACAAGAATAACTCCGTCGCCAGCGTGATCGTCGAGGACACGGATGCTAACGGCGCCCACCCCACAGGCGTCGAGACGATCGTCACCGGCGGCGCCATCGCGGCCGCGCCTAGTAGCGACTCCCTCGCCCCGTCGCACACGCGCAATAAGAGCGTGACAGCCGGATCCATCTACAGCACCGCCGGCGGCGCGGCGCCGACGGGTAGCGCGACCATCACGATTGTGTCAGCGGACGGGTACCCGCCTTCCAGCAACATCATGGTGGTCATCCGCCAGCTGCCGAAGGAGAAGCAGGTCCACAAGACCAAGCACATCAAGTCCCCCAGCGGCTCCGTCAAGTTCGATGAGACCTTCTCGGCGGCGTGCAGCGCGGACACGCAGTTCCAGCTGCAGGTGAAAGATCATGCGACGTTTGGATCCGATGAGGTGCTCGGGCAGAGCGTGTTCTTTGTCGATGAGAGCGGGACGCAGCAGGAGAAGATTGTGGCGGCGGGGAGTGGACATGTAGTTGTGAAGAGCAACTTTGTTCAGAGGGAGGAGGTTGGGGGGAGAGCCCGGCGAGGGGGGGGTTGAGGAAGAGCTTCTTGGGGAAGAGGGAGAATGGGAGGGCTAGTAGGGAGGGGACGCCTGTTTAGGGGAGGGTACGATTAAGGGGGGTGTGAAGGGGTTGGGGGGGGAAGGGGGTCCTTTTTCGTGCGATTTTTTGCGAGGGAGAATGGAAAATGGATGAATGGGGTAGGGTCTGGGCAGTGGAATATCCATCGTGTAATTTTTCTGTTCTCAAATCTATAAATGAATTAGGTGAAGGGGTGTGACTATGCGGCACCGGGTGCGGGAGTGCCACCCGTCTGTCTACCGAGTTAGAGCTGTTTGCTGTGCTGTGGGTTTTTTTTGTTTTTTGGGACTACGAGTAAAACATATCCCTCGTTATATGATCTTGTGATTAAACCGAAAGCATAAAATTATTCTAAACATCGTATAGAGCTATAACTTGGAAGGGGTTACGAACGGACCCTACGGAAATCCGGACAGGTGGGTGCGTCATCCTCACGTCCCTCACTACTAGTACTACCACGCCTGGGCCCCGCCGCCAAAACCCCTCCTCTCTCAACAACACCACCCAAAAAAATAACACACAACGCCGCCCGTCTGTCCAGCCACGGCGAACAACACAGTGAAAGAGAAGAGAGACACACCGCATCTGCGGTCAGCAGCTCACCCTCACCGCCCCGCCAAACCATCGTTCCCCGTCATCATGATAGCGGAAATCGGGAAGAAGGTTCTGCTGCCCGGGCACGTCAGGTCGCGCGGCGAGTCGTCTGGTAGTACGTCCCCCCCTTCCCCCCCGTTTCCTCCCCCCGACCCCAAATACCCGCAAAGCTCTCTCTCGATGGCGTATAATATTATACATATTTTCTTTATGCCCGCCCCCGGCGCTGCCTGAGCCCGGCATGGCGCGTCATGGCGGGGTTGTTGGTAGCGTCCTCGGTGAGCTATATCCCCCACCGCCTTGGTTGGTAGTGCCAAGGCGGTGGGGGATATAGCTCACTGAGGACGCCGGGTCTAGGCGGTGGAGTGGAAATTAATTCCACTGACCGCGGTGCGGCGGATGAGTTTTACACATACACTGTTCCTTTTTTTGGTTTGTTTGTGTAGGAAGATATGCTAAAGCGAAGGTGGACTGTAGGTAATCGGAGTAGTGTCGATGAGGGGAGCGTTGGGGGAACGGAGGATGAGAGCACGCTGGTGGAGCCGGAACAGGGGAATGGTGAGTAGTTTTCTGTGCTCTTTTGGGGGAGAGGAGGAGGGAGGGCTAACCGGGGGGGTAGTTCTGTCGCATATTATTTCGCAGTTGAGGCCGGGGGCGGATTTGAGTCGGGTGGTGCTGCCGACGTTTATTTTGGAGCCGAGGAGCATGTTGGAGAGGATTACGAAGTAGGTTTGCCCTGGGATATCTCGGAAGGAGGGGGATAGGGGGGTGGAGCTGACGAGGAGTAGTTTTATGGCGCACCCGGAGACGCTGTTGCCGATGGCTGAGATTGAGGACCCGGAGGAGAGGTTTGTGTCGGTGGTGAAGTTTTATTTGAGTGGATGGCACATCAAACCACCGCAAGTCTCCCCATCTCCTATGCCTCATGGATGTGAATGCTAACTGTCGAGGTCTGCAGGGGCGTTAAGAAACCACTTAATCCGATTCTCGGCGAGACGTTTACCTGTGCCTGGGAATACCCTGACGACACGAAGGGCTACTACATCTCCGAGCAGACGTCCCACCACCCGCCGAAGTCGAGCTATTTCTTCATGGCGCCAGAGCATGGGATACACATCGATGGGTGCTTGAAGCCGCGAAGCAGGTTTTTGGGAAACTCGGCGGCGAGCTTGATGGAGGGCATTGCTATACTGCGGCTTACAAACCATGGGGGGCCAAAGGGGGAGAAATAGTACGTGGAGATTCTGGCGACCCGGACAATGGAGAGAATTTCTTTAGGGGGCTAAAATGCTAACATGTGCGGGAACAACAGCATCCTCACCCAGCCGAACATGTACGCAAGGGGCATCCTCTTCGGGAAGATGAAGTACGAGCTCGGCGACCACAGCTTCGTGCGCTGTCCCGAGCTCGGGCTCACAGCCGACATCGAGTTCAAGACGAAAGGCTACTTCACGGGCTCCTACAACGCGATCGGCGGGACGATCAAGAACGACAAGACCGGGGAAGTGCTGTACGAGCTGAGCGGGATGTGGACTGGCGAGATGGACATCAAGAACGTAGCGACGGGCAAGAAGGAGGTCCTCTTCGACGCTCTGAAGACGAAGCCAACCCCCCCGCTCGTGAGGCCGCTCGAGGAGCAAGGCGAGAGGGAGAGCCAGAAGCTGTGGCATCGCACTGCGCAGGCGGTGATCGCGAGGAACCATGAGGTCGCGACGGATGAGAAGACCGCGGTGGAGGATATGCAGCGGAGGGAGGCAGCGGCCAGGTTGGCGGATGGGGTGGAGTGGCGGCCGAGGTACTTTAGGGAGGTGCGCACTGGGCCGGGGGAGTCGGAGGAGGGCGAGGAGGGCTTGGATTGGATCTTGAATGCTGATATGTATGTTTTCCCCGCGTCTCTCTTATTGTGGCCATCTCGATTTTTTTCTAACGCGCACGAACAGTGACGGCGCCACTCCGGCGGAAAAGGCCAAGCAAATCTTGGCGGTTATCCCTATCCTGCCAGGACAGAATTTCGAGGAGCCCATGCCGATCCCGCCGTCGCGGATGTCGCGAGAATCGGCGCGCGGAGGCAGGCTGCAGGACTTGCAAGCGTTGGATGATCCGTTAGCTGTTGGTGTGTCGGAGTCGAGGGTTCCGGTCCCACCGCAAGTGGTGAATACCAACGCCCCGGGGGACGACCTCATAGACTTCGGACAGGATGGAACTCCTGCGCCGGTGCAGGCTCCTGTTCAAGGGGCTCCTGTCTATTCAAGGGCACCTGTACCCCCACCTGCTGCTGTTCATGGGGTTGTCCACCCAACGGCATATGCACCCGTACCTGTTACCGCTCAAGGTGCTCCTATCCACCCAGCGCCATATGCTCCCGTACCTGCTACCGCTCAAGGAGGTCCTGTCTATCCAACGCAACACGTACCACTACCTGCTGACTTGTTAGCAGCGCAGGTAGAGCAGGGCGGGCGGGCGCAGAGACAGATGGAGTCGACGCTTGTCGAGACAGCCACGGGTGACAGTGGGAAGCCAGGGTCTCAAAGCCCACTGCTTGATTTCCATAAAGACCTGAACCAGTCTCTCAGACGGATTGATTCGGACACGAGAGGCATTGATGAGTTTATCGATGCTGAGGGCTAGGTGGGAGGAAGAGGAAGGTAGGAGGTGGCTGGTGGATATAGTAGGGGTTTGCGGGGCTTGGACGGTAGCATGTTAGACTGTGCTGTCAGCACGGTAATAGGTAGGACAGCTAATCAGGGGGGATGGGACCATGGATATAATCGACATGCAGGCGTTTGTCGGGCTTTCGGCATTGCATGCAAATGCTCGAGGTTTATGAGCGGGTCAGCGAGGGGGCATAGAAGACCAAGTTTCGCTGACCGCTCGCAAAGAACACAGACAGGTTCGCTGCTTTATCACTGCATGTCACTTCAACGTGATGCCAGCCCTGTGAATGAGGGCCCAGGGGTTGAGTGACTGGGCCATGAAAATGTCGCATCATCTGTGCGGAAAAGTAATAGGGGCAGGGGGAGGGGAAAAGCCACAAGGCTCGCTGTTTAAACTTTGCAAATCGTAATTTTTTTTCCATATCCCTTTTGAGTTTTTTTTCTCTCTCCTCCGTTATTTGTCCTAAACCTCTGCTATCTGCTGCCCGTAATTGTATTTGTACAAAATCGTACATGCAATCCCATGCTCCGTAGATTCAACCCGGTCCTCTAAACGCCGAAACAAAACGCTGCCGTGTATCCGCTGAGCATCATGCGGCCCGAAAGCTCAGCAGGGCTCAAGCCATTGTCCCTTCCTTTCCTACACCCCCTCCCCAAATCCTAAATTCCCTCACCATCCCTCCTTCACACCATCCCCCCTTCACACCATCCCCCATTCACACCATCCCCCCTTCACACCATCCCCCCTTCACACCATCCCCCCTTCACACCAACCCCCTTCACACCATCCCCCCTTCACTCTAGTACCGCCTCCTCGTCGGCTCCGGGCTCGGACTCCTCGTCACGCTCCTCTCATCCCTCCCCCTCTCCCTCAACCACTTCCTCGTACTCATATCGAGCTCCCTCTCCAGCTCCGGGCTCGGATTCTTGCGATGGATGAAATTGCAGAAGCCGGCGCGCACGCACCCCTCCCCGGAGTTGAGGCGGCAGCACGCCTCGCGGAAGTCGGTCACGGGGCTCAGCTCGCAGTAGATGGGGCGCGCGGCGTACCAGCGCGAGTTGAGGGCGTCGCAGGCTTTTTGCGCTGAGTCTTCGTATTTGAAGCGCGCGTAGACGTTGCCGATCAGATCTGGGTGGGGTTAGCTTGTGTTGCCTCTATAGACTGGGGGGGAGGAAACTCACGGTCATTATTGTTGTCACAAATGACGACCTCCTCGAGCTCGCCATACTTGCACATCTCGCACCAGAAATCTTCGTAGAACGCATCGAAGTGCATCTGTAGCTGCTTGGCGTCTAGCTTCGCCTTGGGGTCGTAGGCGGGGTTCTGGTAGAGGTTGGGGAGCAGCACAGTTTGCGAGTAGGAGGGCTTGACGTGCTTGCGCGAGCAGCGGTCGCCGTGACGGCAGGCGCCGATCTTGTAGTAGAACGAGCAGTTGACCTTGTCTTGCTCGGTGCCGAAGATGGAGGCGAGGTAGTTGGCCATTGTGTCGGCGGCCGAGGGGTGCTACTTTGGATGTGTGGTCAAGATAGATGGCTTCTGGACAGTAGGCTCAGCGCTGTAGGTGGTATTAGATGGGATGAGCTGGTGTTGTTGCGATCATGGAGTGGGAGGTGGCGGCGCAGATGTGCATAAAGTTCGAGTTGAGCTTTTGAGACAATGTGATGTCGAATTGGGTTTAGCGTATCACGTACCAGTTGTGGTAGAGTAGGTGCATTACTAATATAACGGGCAGTTGTCAGAGTGTTCTAGAAGCGAAGGTCGCGTTTTATTGGCTGTATAGGTACTGCCAAAACCGACTGTATAATTATTTATTGGAGATATCAACCATCTTTTCGACATTGTCACGGATACACGACTAAATACTTATTTTCAGGGTTAGCAATTCGAATATAAACTTGAATACTAGGCTATATTCATATTCATGAATAAAAATTATACACGTATTCATATTCATGAATATATATTTATGAATATTCTTGAATATTTTGAATATAGATAGCTCTAACTAAATTAGGTAAGGTAATTACTATATTAGGAATCGTACATAGATAAGATAAGATAAGATAAGATAAGATAAGATAAGAAAAAAGTCGAAAAATACAGAATGTTGTAGAATATTCTATTAAGAAAGGCATTGCTAAATTAAGGAAGTATTATTCTCCTAAACATTATGAAGAAAAGAATACACCTTTATTTATAGCATTACTATTAGACCCTAGATTAAAGAAGATAGGGCTAGGTAAGTTATATTTACATGACAAGATGAAAAAAGCTATAGAAGCTTTAGAAGATATATTTCAAAGGTAAGTTTATATATTATCTATTTTATAATATATAGGCAACGTAGGTGTATAGCGAATGTCACAGACAAGCGAATGTCACACTCTGGCGTGCCACCGTGACTGTCCCATGAAGCATTACATTTCTCCACCACAAATTATGACTCAAAAACACGATGAAAGCAGGATCATTTTAGCCCTCCAGGCAATGCAAAATGACCCAAAGCTAAGTGCTCGAGCTGCGGGGAATATTTATTCCATTAGCCATGAGAATCTCAGTCGTCGTAGGCATGGCATGCAACCACGACGCGATATTATAGCCAATTCACGGAAATTGACAAACCTAGAGGCATCAGTCCTTGTTCAATACATACTCGACCTAGCTACTGAAGGATTTCCTCCTCAGTTGTCTATTGTTGAAGATATGGCAAATCGGCTACTTGCAACACGCGACGCGCCACGCGTCAGGTCATGTTGGGCTTCAAACTTTGTTAAGCGGCATGTAGATGTTATGGCTACGGTAACGTGACATCATGGTTACAGGACCAGGGCCTAGTTGTAACGCTGACTTCTAAACGATAGAAGACACAGAGGTTCTCTTGCATAAAGGTTTACTTATCAGAGGAGGCAGGGGATCAGACACAAAGGCTTCAAGTAACACGTTACTAGTATATAACAAATACTGTATTGAGTTGAGCACGAAGCTCCTATCTAAGGAAATACTATCTACTTATATAGTGGCGTCGTGCCTAGTGGACTCTTGGGAACTCACTCGAGTCCTCGGAGTCCTGGACTCTTAGGATTCTTCTCATCATCCTGCGAGTCCGTCACGTGCCTAGTGGACTCCTGGGAACTCACTCGAGTCCTCAGAGTCCTGGACTCTTAGGACTCTTCTCATCATCCTGCGAGTCCGTCACGTGATACTTTCGGAACTACTATTCCCCGCTGCCCCTCCAGGTACCAGGGCCGGTCTCATGCGACCTCCCTCCTTCCTGTCCTGTAGTTGGCCAGCCTTCTTGTTCCGTCGTAACACTAGTAACGTGACGTGTGAGTCACAGGGGGCAAGCGGGGTAGGCTGCCATGTGACGGGGCTAATGGATAGTTGCAGAAACTAGTGGATATTGGATAGTTGAGCTATCCATGAACTATCCTGAATATCTAGCTATCCGCCAACTATTATCCACCAACTATCCAGATTACCCATGAGGCACGATGCCACTATATAAGTAGATAGTATTTCCTTAGATAGGAGCTTTGTGCTCAACTCAATATAGTATTCTTTACAATACTGTAACGTGTTACTTGGAAAGCCTTTGTGTCTAATCCCCTGCCTCCTCTGTCAAGTCAACCTTGCACAAGAAACCTCTGTGTCTTCTATCATTTAGAAGTCAGCGTTACAGTAGAGCTCCGGACATGCTTTCAGCGCAAATACGACTACCAGAGGGCTAAGTGTGAGGACCCAGAAGTCATCTGTAGTTGGTTTAAGCTTGTACAGAACACAATTATGAAGTACAGAATCAACGATGCAGATATCTACGACTTTGATGAGACTGGGTTTATGATGGGTGTTATCTCAACTGCTATGGTTGTAACAAGCTCAGATGGCTGGGCAAAAGCAAAGAAGGTACAGCCTGGCAATCGGGAATGGGTTACAGTAATCCAAGGCATTAGTTCTCAAGGTTGGGCAGTGCCGCCATTTGTCATTGTTGCAGGCAAAAACCACCTTGCATCTTGGTATGAGAATAGTGGATTCCAAAACGATTGGGTCATTGCTGTTACGGAAAATGGCTGGACTACAAACGAGAGAGGAATGGATTGGATTCAGCATTTTGAGAAGCATACAAATGTCACGGTTCACCAAGGCATAGGGCACCAGTTGGGTATTATGAATTAAACTCAATCTAGAGAAGAAAGGAAAGAGAAGAGGAGCACTCGAGCAGTGGCTCGATCTATATACAGCTATGTTGTTGTGGAGTGAATTCTCTTTAGCGAGACCAGTTCTGAGAATTCACTCCACAACTGAAAACTTCACTCCAACTCCGGAAAGCTCCCCACACCCCTGAACCCTCACTTGAGCTGCAAGGCGCACTTGATATCGTAACAACAAAGACCCAGAGTGTTGGTGGTTATTGTCTCTTAGTCCTTGATGGTCATGAGAGCCACAACTCAGATGAGTTTGAGGAGTACTGCAAGGAACATAACATTATTACGCTTTATATGCCTGCTCATTCTTCTCATCTACTCCAGCCACTTGATGTTGGCTGTTTTAGCCCATTAAAAAGGGCTTACGGTCAGCAAATTGAAGATATGATGCGGGCTCACATTACCCATATTACTAAGGATGACTTCTTTCCTGCCTTCTATGCAGCATTTAAGATTGCAATAACAGAAAGCAACATTCAAGGAGGGTTCTGAGGTGCAGGACTTCTTCCATTTAATCCAGAGAGTGTGATATCTACGCTTGATCTTAGGTTAAAGACACCAACACCTCCAAGCTCCCGCCCGAGTACTGCACAACCTTGGGTTTCTCAAACACCAAATAACCCAACTGAAGCACCATCACAGTCAACTTTCATTAAACACCGAATTGTGCATCATCAAAATAGCTCTCCAACTTCAATCTATACAGCTGTTGACCAGTTTACAAAGGGTGCATTGCAAATAATGCATCAGTTTGCATTGTTAAAAGCAGAGAACCAGAACCTCTGACAGGCAAATGAGGTACTAAGCAAGCGGAGAAGGGCAAAAAAAACACATCTACAACAAGGAGGATCACTTAGTCAACAGGAAGCACAGGATCTACAGGACGAGAGAGATGTTGTACAGCAGGTAGAACAAGAAACAAAGGCAAGGAGTGGTCGGAAGCCAAGGGAAGAAACATGCCCATGGCACTGCGGCAACTGTGGAGAGACTAGACATAATATGCGCACTTGTGGAATCATAGAAGAGGTGCCTGAGGACGAGGATTCCGAGTAGTTTCACTTAATTTAAGGGGTTGTGGTAGAATTATCGTGAGATTTGGTGCATGCCTGCATTGGGGTGTGACGTTCGCTTGTCTGTGACATTCGCTATACACCTACGTTAGAATATAAGAAAGTATAATATAGATTGTGGTGTTTGACCTTCGGGTTTAGTGTCCCCCCTAATCGGGCAACGCGCATGCACGGGCCTGCTGCCGCTTTCAACTTCTATAAAGGAGCCACTCCCTCCCCCTCCAACTCTGTCCCTCTCCACCGTCGCTCCTTCCCTCCCAACATTCTCGCACCTGCTTTGCTCATTCGTGCGACGCTTGGCCCCCTCCCTCCCCTTCCACACCGCACCGCATGGCCCGCCCAACGGATCCCCCTGCTCAGCCTTGCTGCAGCTGAAAACCCGCAGTGGCACATGAACGCTTCCGCAGAGCCACAACCTCGATTTACGCCCTTTCCACCGAGCTCTCCACGATGGCAGCAAGCACTTTGAGCATCGACGTCTAGTCTTCAGATCGGTCAAGATGCGAGATTGAGCGTTCAAATTGCACCTCTTGCGCCCTTCTTCGTCGCTGCACACATGTGAAGCCTCTTGCGACTGTGCCTTGCGCAATCTGCCTCGAGAGTGCCTTGCGCAACGACCTAGCCAATTGCAAAAATGCCTCGCGGTGACGTGGCAGGCCCTTGCATAAACTGCCATGCTTCACCTTTTCTGACGTTGCGAGCTACAGACACTGTGGCTGATCTTCGAGAGAAGGGCCGATTTGAGACTGAAGCAGAAATTCCTCTTGAAGGCCTTCGCGACCGCGACATCCCTGTGTTGCAAATGGTTACCGTTCACCTTCACTTGGAGGTGCTCATTGGGGAATACTACCGGGATTGCGGACAAATGGATACAGAGAGTGGTCAATCATTGGAGTCAAGCGGGCGGGGTCGTCTGACCTCAGGTGCCGCTCCATCCGGCCTTTACATGATGGGTTGGAGCGATCGCCTTCACAACATGCACAGCCTGGATACAATTCCCCTTTCTGGCAGTAGAGGGGTCGACCGCAGCGCTAAACGTTCAGCTGAGAGTGAGACTACGCTCTTGAGACCCCTCAAGCTGCAGCAGCCCAATCGCCAGAGTGCCTCGAAATACGACATATCTTGCCTCTGTTTGACGCAAACATCTGGTTGGTGAAATCAGGGTCAAGCTTGGGGCAAAAAATTCACTGCCTGGCTGCAGAGCATGGAA